ATTAGTAATGTGTTATTTGTATTAAGATTAGGGAATTATACTTCGACTGATTGCATCCATGAATGCTCAATCAACAGCCTTGCAGCCGTGTCCTTCAACAAGGTCGGACCCTCTCACAGGCAAACACAGGTGATTCTTCCTTCCACCCTCAGCTCTGCAAACATTTCCAAGCGGTTGTGTCACCACATTACTTTACACACAGCTCATAAAACGATGATGACACAGTCCGCCTTATCAGGCCTCGGCCGCGGTGATGTAATTTGAAGCTGTAACTGAAATGCAAACATACCAAGAGAAACATGCAAGGTGTGTTTAAGACAAAGCGGCGGCCCTGCAGTGCGGTAGTTTCCTGTTATCAGACGGAGATAGAGGGTAGATTACTGTGTGAGATGGGTCATTAAAAAACTGTCTTGTCTGCTGTGGCGTTTACAGTCTGAGCTGAGTAGACTGTTTGTATTGCTGACATGTAATAGCTGCAGTTAAATGGTTAGACACCAAACATTTGACGTCCCTCATTGCACATGTGCTCTGTCGTCTGTGTAAACACGAACCTTCAAAAAGGTGAGGAGGAAATCTGATCTCACATGATGTCATCCCCCCCCCCTTGGTTAACTCCCAGCTTTATTTTAAATGGAACTCAAGGCTGAGTGCTGCAGCTATCCTTGTAGTGACGGAAAACCCGACTGTAAATCACGATAACATCCAGCCTCCTGCTCGCAAAGTATGACTCTGGCATAATTTCGGGTTACGGAGAAGGAAGGAAAGTATGTGTTTGTTTGTGCCTTGACTGTTTACGCAGAAAAATATAATTGTTAGCATCTAAATAAAGGAGGATAGTTATATGTCTTTTTGTCCGTTCTGGAAACGAGACACCAGAGAGAGATATGTAAAACTACAGTAAACAAATGAAAAGGCTGTATAAGCTGGCCTGGATGAACATTTGTCATGCAAACGTCTTTTTTGTCTCACTCCCTAACAATTCTACCAGTCCTTATTCCCAGTTTAAGTTGTAAGACTTGTTTATCAGTCTCAGGTAGTATCTCCCTTAAGGTTTGGACTCTTTGTCTGGGACTATCATTAATCATTACTTCAGTTGGGTTTAATCATACATACTAATGTTATAAAAACAAGAACCTTGCATAATGAGTTGCTTCTTCACATTCCAGAGTTTATTAGCCCTTTATTGATACGAAAATGTTCATTGAGATTAATGTTCTTGGCATCTGACATGTTTGTCTCTGGATTCTTTTGTCAGCAACAATTGCCACCCAATTTGTCTGCAGTTACAGCATTGTGCTGAGAGGAAGGACTGTTAAAGAGCAACTAGTGTCTGCTGACTCAAACAATGCACAGGATTGTACGCGCCTGCGATGTGTTAATCTTTTTTGGCAGCTCAGTGAAGGCTTGAGGCAACAGAGTCACTGTGCAGAAAGGTCAAACAATTGCCTCAGACACCTTTTTGAGTCGCTCTTTCCTTTAAAGCTGCTATAGAGCGGCATGCTCGTCGAGCAGAAATTGTACACCACTGCCATGGAAATTTAATTATGTTTGCCGGTTTGTGTATGCATGAGCGCGTCTCTATGACGGCAGGATGGGAAAGATGACCTTTTAAGACCCTCTGTTCCCCGAGACCAAAAGGCACTCAGCATGTAAAGGAGACTTTTGATTCATGCAAAAGATAGCAGACTCTTTTCCGTGACGTTGTGAGTCCACAAGGCGGATCAGGTATTGAGAAGATGAAGGATGTTGTTTAACCAAGTGTGTCTGCTGAAAGTTCCACATGTTCCTTTGTGACAGTTTGATATGTTGGGGCACGTTTGACAATGGCAAAATGATTTTTAACACTTGACGTGAGAAAAACAAATAAATACTCGCAGTTGTTAAAAAGTCAAGTGAGAACTTGCCTCTGTGAGCTGCCAGTGCTTATTGAAAGAAAAAAAGCCTGTAGTGACAATGCTGACAAATGTTGATGTTTAGCAGGTGTCGATTAGCATGTTTCCCATTTTAGTGTAGCGTTAGTTTTGGTCATTAAGTATTGGAAGGTCACAGGATCGGCAAAGTGATTACAGTTCATCATGAGGGGGTGTGTAAAAATCCATGGGAATCCATCAGATTTCTGTTGACTGACAGAAAGTTCCATCCACAAGCTGCTATGGTGGCTATAAATAATTTGTCATGAAGGGACGGGATCAAAACTACAATCACTCTGGGAATTTTTCTGTCAGGTCCATTCCTGTCTAGTTTAAGACTTGTGCACTCTTCTATCAGAGAAACTGGCGTCAAGGAATTGACATTTACTGCAAATGGCTACACGGTTAGATTTGGCAGAAACTTCTGCAGAGAGAGATAATCCCCCCCGAATAAACATAGTACATAATAATGAACATTAATCTCAGTTAAATCAACAATATGAAATACCACATGAGGTGGAGGTTGGGGTTGCTGTTGCTACAAGCGTGACTTTAGTGCTCTGCTTCATTTGTGGTGATACATTTGAACCTTTATCAAAGCATTAGTTACACCAAGTTTGTTGATTTAATGACACATAATGGATGACTGAAACCCAGTTCAAGCGTCTTTTTGATGCACTGCATGTTCAGCTGATGATAAAGATAACACTGATGATCAATTCTTGCGTTCAAGCCCAAACCAAATCTACCGCCACGTCCCTTTGCCATCTTTAATCAAAAGAACTGAGCAGTTAAACCGGAACGATGGCATCCCATGAGGCACGTTTGCTGAGTCATCACGGCCCGATCATGAACTATAGGTTTCTGTGTGCTTAACCTCTTGATAGCCAGCATGGAGCTAGCATGAGTCATGATGATACTGAGCTCTGAAATGTTTGAACAGGCGGTGACAAGCTTATTTCACAGGGTCAAGCGCAGTAAGTAGTTATGGAGACACAACAGGACATAAAAAGTGTCTCTGTTATAACTCTTGTTTATGAGGTCAAGAAAGAAAGTCTTGTTCATGGGAAAATCCCATGAAAATGTCCATAAATGCCTGAGTGGCATCTTGATAATTCAGTGACTCAGCTTTGGCGCCGTCGGAGCGGAAACCTTACACCATTTGCCCAAATTCAAGCCAAGCACGACGCGGTGGCAACATTTGATCACACATCTAAAAGGCTAGTGCGGACAGGCCTTAGGTAAAGCGAGCAGCGTCGCCCGAACCTGCAGGGAGGCCGGGTAACCTCTTAACCCACCGGGGGGGTGGCCATTAAAACAACAGGTGCTTGAGGCGGAGGTCAGCTGTCGAGCGCAGGCGCTAGCAGCAGCTGCAGGTAACTGCGTTGGGTCTTGACCACAGCGTGCAGGAGTTCCCAACAGTTGAGGATACTATAAAAGTCTTACGCTAACAGCCCGCCGCATCTGAGCAGACCCCAGACCTCATTAGAGAAAGGACTTCAAAGGTCTTGCATGACTTGCGTGATTAATTGGTAGCCCCCATGTTTGCTGTAAACCGACTTAAGAAATGGACGTCATGCATAGGACTCCACACAAACCATGTGACAGGCTGTGAAGCAGCTGTGTCAGTGCACAGACAGATGGGTTACCATACTTTAATGGAAAGCTCTGTCTCTCTCTATCCAGCCTTTATTAAGTCTCAAGTGACAACAGTCTATTCAAGCAGGACCGAGCTGTTCCACACGGCCATATTACCCTTCATCTATAAATCTTTGTTCATGTACATTTCGACTTGTTTCAGCTTTTGATTTAGATCCATTCGCCTTTCATTTAAACATGACCTGCAGCGACAGTAAATTGCTTTTATCTCCTGGATAGAAAATGTATTTAGGTGATGTATGGCAGATGTAACAATAACCCAAGCGTTCAGTAAGGAGCAGTTACATTGACTAACAGCTGGTGCATTTGGAAAGTTGCCCTGCATTTCACAATGCTCAACCCCTATTATTCATTATATTTTTATATTTAAGTTTATAGTCAATTTGCTGAGGTTTAACAAGCTAGTTTTCTTGGTGGATTTAATTATGTGCTCCATATTTTTGTCAATTATTGTCAGAGAAAGAGGCTGCTGAAATAAGAATGCTGTCTGCCCGAGGCATACAAGGAGCAATAAAGTACAAGACAATGCAAAAGTGGAACGCATTGCTTGAATCCGAAGGTCACTTTTATTTAATTTGGTGTGAATAAATTCAATACTTTATGCTGTAAATGTCGCAGACAGAACTAAAAATGTCTAGAATAATCTTTTTTTCCCAACTGGATGAGAGAAGAAGTGCGGGGAGGGAGAAGATCCATCAGACACACCTGTGAGCTGGAGCAAAAAAAACTAACAAAGCCAGAGTGGAAGAGGACGGACAGAGTAGATTAAAGGATAATTAGGCAGTATAATCTTGTTTCTGGCTAAACTGACGCATGTAAAAGTAAAGAGAGTGGCTGTTGTTTCAAGAACCGTCTGGATTTACAGAACCTTCCTAGACATCAGAAAAGAAAAGCTGATCCCTGGAGTGAGTTTGGAAGTGTTTTCGACTACGTCTTTGGCCTGTCCACAGGTACAGTGTTGTACTTCTTTGTCTACGTTGGACCACACACACACTCTCCTGGCTTCTGCTATTCTCTTGCCTCACCTGCCTCAGGTTACTGTCATTTTCTACCTGTAGTGGATATTAAAGGACCCCTCTCAAGCACACACATATCCCACTCAACTAAACTAATTGAACTGACCAGAACTGAATCCACTCACAAACTCCCCCTGAGTTATTGATATTATTTTATTATTATATAATTTGAATACAACAAATGAACTGATCGAACTTAAGTGGAGCAATTGAGTTTTCTTACTTCTTATTTTCATAACCAGGCTGGCTCTCCCACTGGTTTGTATCCGTGTATTTAAAGTGACAGGATAAGATTCGGATTATTCTCCACTCTATTTTTGATATTAGGAATACACCAACGTTACAGTAAGAGAAAGAGGTTTGCTTTAGGCATACAAGGAGCAATAAAGTACAAGACAAAAGTGGAACACACTGATTGAATCCAAAGGTCACTTTTATTTAATTCAGTGTAAATAAATCCAATACTGTCACACTGACAGTACTAGAGCCACATATTTAAGGTGATAAGACAGAGAACCGACAACATTCTGAAACTAGACCACACAACACATGCCTACGGACTTACACAACTACACACTAGGTGACTGTTTGGGTAAATAATAAGGTCAAAATGAGCTCAGGTCCATTATATAATCATTTGACAAGTTAAACACTTAGGAAGCTACCGACCAAGATAGCGGGTTGTTTACTCTTCTACACACCTCCATGAAGTGATCATTCATTAATACTTTTTTAAAAATCCAAATACTGTGACATAATACCTTATATATCGGCTTTAGCAGCACTATATTTCAGTGAATACGTCATACACGCATGCACGCACACACACACACACACGCACACACACACACACACACACACAATTCCTCATCTAGTCAAGTGTGCACTCGATCCACGCTTCCTAGTTTAAGGAACAAGACATTAAGGAATTCACATCGTTCCCTTCAGGGAAATGTTTACACGCTGTGTATTTACAATATCAGACTTCTAGCCTTCCGCACTTAAAAAAATGCTCTCTTGGCCACTTTTGCTAAAACAACAGTGACTTCATGATAAGTTGACTAACACCAGTTACAGCAGCATCAGCCTTTCATGGAAAATCAGTATGATAACTCGGCAACAGCAGTGCAATGTAAAAGACAAATAATGCTATTATCAGCTAATATAGCTATCAGCGAAAGCCTGCTCATCTGTTAATTGCCTCAAGGGTGTTTTAATGCTGTTTCGTGCTCTGAATTCAGAGGGAGGTCACCCCTGTAAGTAGACCCCAGACTATAAAAAAAAAAAAAAAAACCTCGAACAATAGGCCTCTCCTCTGTAGAAATATTCTGATATTGCTTTGGGGGTGCCATCTGTTGTAAAACACTATAATAATAGCTGAAAACAATGACCTCACAATCTGTTCATTTCATTGCAGGAAACGGCAAAATACTTGAGCCACAATGTTCAGCGAATACTTCATACCAGAGCCATAGAATGGGAGTGAATGGATTCTAATAGGAACAAATTAAAACTGTTATCTGTGTGGCAACCTATTTATGATCATATATCATCATTATATGAGTTTCAGTGATAAAAGCTCTTTTATCATGACGCACACATAAGCCTACTTGCAACAGGCTTACTGGATCACAGTGTTCAAAGCTACATTGAGCAATAAGCTCCTTCATGATTATCAGTGTACGGTTGTTCATATTTTCACAGGTGAACATCAGGTGATTTTTAGCACAGTCTTCTAGTTGTGAAATATTGCTTGTCACACATGCGAGGTGTGTTGCTACGTTAAAATTCCCGTCCCTATAGTTGTGGATTAACTGGGTGGGTGTTTGCATATGTGTCTATGACAGCACGGTGAGCGTGACAGTTCCTTTGGTCCTTTTCAGGATGCCAACGGCTTCTTCATGAGTGACGCCCTCCAGAGTCTGCCCGTTGACGGCCATTATCTGGTCTCCTCGCTTCAGACGGCCGTCCTCGGCTGCTGCTCCCTGTGTGCGCACACGCACAAATTGAGTTTTACATTTTTAACACACAATATATTTGGCAATTCTGCGAAAACAAAATGGAGTTGACCATGTTACCTTTCCGAAAACTGTTTTAACATAGATCGGCAAGTCTCCGTGGGGGCTGCCGTACCCTCCGACTATACTGAAACCCAGTCCGTCTGGTCCTCTTCCAAGAGTGATGGTCTTATACTGAGGTGGGCTGAAAGAAAGACAGAGAGAGTTAGGGACTGTATGGAAATTATCGGGGTGGGGTTCATTTTTTGAAAAATCAAGGCCCTCATCTGCACTAATAATCACTGATCCTCCCCTTGACTTAAAAAAACTGGAACACACTATCACGGTCCTAATGTATCTGAATACCACTCGAGAACAATAATTCTCACAATATTCACCAAACTGCACTGAATGAACCGCACTCAGCAGAAGGCTTAAATAAGACCCTCTCCTGCCCGCATTCCCTTCAGAAAAAGAAAAGACTTAATAACTCCTACCCCATTTGTGTCCCCTGCTAATCATTTTGACACAGTCCCTTACACAGACTGACATTATAGGGGTAAGATGGATGTTACGACACAACAAAAGAAATGTTTTGAGTAACAGCCAGTTCATACCCGAGGTCATCCTGGAAGATGCAGCTGGGTGGAAGACCTCCGGCTGCCTGCTCCTGAGAGGGACCTGTCACAGTGGTGTCCCCGCCCGCTACCACCTACAGGTACGTGAAAACAAGAACATGTACAACCGCACGTCTTTATGGTACGCTACACTTGCAAAATAAAAGACTGATAGCATGGTGGTAGTGCTGGATGCGGGAAATGAGTTTCATGGTACTTCAAAGTCCGCCGCTGGCAGCCTTCGACTGTTCTTTACAGGTGAAAACTTTGTACACAGATAAAGTAAAGAATACAGTTCATGTTCAACTGCAGGTTATCTAACTGTATCTGTGGGTTTATCTAATAAGAAAAGAAAGGGTGAGAGAACAAGTGTGTGTGTGTGTGTGTGTGTGTGTGTGTGTGTGTGTGTGTGTGTGTGTGTGTGTGTGTGCGTGCGTGCGTGCGTGCGTGCGTGCGTGCGTGCGTGCGTGCGTGCGTGCGTGCGTGTGTGCGTGCTGTTTCGACCTGCAGCTGTATTGTGCCCGTGGCATTCTTGAGCAGAGTGACAGCCTGTGAGTGGCTCATGCCTTCAGCAGAGGTTCCACAGATACTGACAATGCGGTCCCCGATCTGGAAAAGGGAGCGTTTCATACAATTTAAAAAGGATACACCAGAGAAAAGTAACTTTAGCAGGAGCTGGCTTTACACATTTTCCAAGGAACGGTTTGGAAAATTTGAGATGCAGATCGGACTCTGGGTTTCTTTGCACAGCTCTATTTAGCTCCAGTGTTTGGGCTGGAAACAGTGCAAATGTAATAAAGGTTGTCTCTATGGCTAAATAATGAACACACTCAGATGTTTTCTTATTTCTTAGGATCAGTATGATGATGTATCAGCACATCAAAACCACTTTTAAAAGCTAGCTTCAGTGCTGTTTTGTGATTTCTATTATTTCTGTGTTAGTTCACAAAGTCTGGAGGAGCTCTGCATGATAACAGGATGTGAGACACTAGCTAATACCATTTGAAAATTGAATTCACCACGCCATACAAAAGCAAAACTATGCTTGTGTTCGACTGAGTAATTTCATTATGTAGCGTTCTCATCTCATTCTGGCTGAAAAGATAAAGCAGCATGAATATACTATTCAAGATTTGCCCCTATTCATTTCAATGAGCCCTTCTGTAGGCTTAATGATGTGAATGCAGGAGTGGGAGATTTATTATCCATGTTAGCAATGGCTATTGTCCCCCACACAGAGATACAATTGTCATTTAACTGTGAAGGTCACTGCTAAAGGCTGTAGGCTCTTGACCTTTCAAAGGATTTGAGATTCACAAACTGAGTAAAGTGAGTGGGAATGACATCAGTGTGAATAACTGAGACTCACATTAAGTCCCACACAAGAACCACTGGTGTGCAAACTCTCCGTTTTGTATTCAGCTGGAAGCGAGATAAAGGTTACCGAGAGGGAGGTGTAAATCTCGTACCTTGAGCTTCTGGGTCTGAGCGGCCACCCCGACGGGATTCATCATAGCGATAAAGATGGGTATGTCACCCAGAGGGCTCCCCACGCCGCCTGCGATACTGATACCCAGAGAATCATTGGGACCTTTAGTGAACTCAACCGTTCTGGTGTCCTGATGCTCTGGAGCTGCGGGGGAAGGCAAATGTGCAAAATGTTAGGATTAAATTACACTTGTGACTAACTCGTACGCTTCATGAATTAATATCAGTTCTGCTTACAATCTGGACTACTACTTAGTTTGTCAGGGTCGTCGGGAAGGGTTCCAGAGTCTGAACAAGACTGGGAGGCCACCTTGGAGCTCCCAGTTTCACTCATCTGAAACAAAGACATTCAGTGTTCCTTCGTTGTCTTGTTTTCAAGGACTAGATGAGAGCAATTGCTATTTGATTTCTATCATAAATTCACAACTACAGTAAATTACCTGACTACTTTGAGACAGCCTTCTTTCAGAGTGGAAGGGGCCAGCCTTGAACCTCCCTACTTCCATTGTTATAGGCCCCACGCAGCACTGTAACACGAGGCACATTGTTTTAAGTTTAGTCATCCAACGCAGTTTAAATACTGAATAGCACAAGTGCAATAGATATACCTTGAGCAGTGCAGCCGTGGCCTCCTGCGTGGCCGACCTGACGTCCTCACCGTTGACTGACAGGATCTGGTCACCCTGCATCAGTCGGCCGTCAGTGTCCACCAAACCTCCTTTCACAATGTCGGACACAAATACTCCTGTGTCATTCCTGGTAGGGAAAGGTTGGAAGACATGGGGGTGAGATACCATCTGTTACTGTATGCATAGTTATGTTACTAAAAGTCACACTGTATTTGTCTCTAATAGCTGAACTTAATCGTATCATTCTGCTGACGTCTGTTGTTGAGCGTGTAATTGGCGGTCCACTATTGATCCAGCAATTTCCCATTTTTCCAGCGGACCTCTGCACAAATGTGGCTTATGCTCCTTGGGAAGTGGCAGACAAACAGCTGGTAAGATGGAATATTTAATAGCAAAGAGCGTGTTTACCCTCCAACTGTGACCTCAATAAATGTGTTTTCCATCTTGAATCCTGCATCTCCTTACAGTGAACATGTTGCAGTCAGGCACAGAAAGTGAGATATCGCATATTATTTAAAAAATACTTCCTTTAATAGCTGCACAGTGCTGAAAGTATAACTTAATTATTTAATTTACTCTAATAAGTGTATTGGTGACTGTTTTAAGAATCATCGTTCATCAAGATATTAAGCCTTGATGAGAAGCGTTTCTTGGGGGGTTGTTTGTTTGATTGACAGGTGTCTACACCTACCAGAGTCAGCTGTGGTGACTGCCATCTGCTTGTCCCACAAATATGGGTTTTAAAGCTCTATTATTTGCCAAAGAAGCAAAACCCAAGTCAAAACATCCCTTCTCAAACCAGGTCAACAGCAAAAAAATAAAAAAAATACAAATCTGAGCTCACTCTGAGCAACTATTTCCAAAAGCACATCTCTACCGTTGACATTGCATATCTGAAGTGCCAATCTCCACGTGGATAAAACTAACACAAGCAGAAGCTGTGCAACAAGGCAACCTGATCCCACTCAGTCCCCGGTGCCAGAGACACTTGGCTGTCACAACTCCTCACCACTAACTGCTAGCTTGCACTTTCCGTTTTAGCCGAGGGTTTTAGGTTGTCTCTTATGTTGCTGCCTTTTCCATCCTATTGAGCATTTTTGTTTTTTTCCCACTTGTGTAGCAAAACCACAGTGACAGAAGCAAAGATTTACAACTATATTAAAAAAAAGTTGATCATCCTACTGCCGTCCACGCTGTTCAAACCACAATCCAAAACTTGGGCAGCAGTGCGTATGAAGGTATGGTCTGTGTAAGCCATTTCCCGGAGGTGAGATCAATCACCACACTCCACACACCTGACAGCAACAGACTGTCAGCATGTGGCCCAGCGGGCATTTTCCCCTACGAATGCTACTGCGAGAATAGATGCCTGAGTCGAGTTTGTGTGTGTAAGACGGTCTACAGTTTGCCAGCTCACGTCCTAGTAGCCTAAATCTTCCTCAGCAGCTCTGATGGGAACGAAAGCGGCAGCGCTCCCTGATACAGCCCCGTCTCTGGCAATACCCCGGAGTCGGGATCACCACTAGTTTCTTTAAAAATGATTGGATCATTTTTGTAAAGTTTAAGCAGGTAAACAGTTATTCAACCGTAAAATAATGTTTAAAAACCATCATTTAGTCATGATGTGTTACAGTTACTGTAGACATGTAGGGAAGTAGGAATTTGTATACACACCAAATATGACGTCTTACCATTTTAATTCCACTTATGCTAAGGGTTCCATAAGCAAAAGGCCTAAAGATGGTAAAATCAAACACACGGTAGCACCTCATATGGTTTATTGTGTATTGGTCTAAAAATATCTTTCATAATTGTGTTTTTATGGATGTATGAGATATCTATTTCTCTAACTCTCTACACACTACACACTATTCACATATACAGGTCTTTTAATAATGATTACCTCTGGTCCCGTGATCTGCGTTAAAAAAGAAAATTCATACAGTTACTGTCAAACTATGTTGACTCTTCGATTACTAATTATTTCTGTTCATGCTAGTTGCTATTCATAATATGCTAACCCTTTTTGTGACCCCCAAAAGCAACTCGCAAAGCTAACGACGAGCTCTTTCTCTAATGAAAAAGCACCTTTTCCACAGTTTTTATATGTAACACTCATTCAGCATTGTAATAAATCCTGCTGCACATTAATAAGTGCATACTAGGCATTAAGCGGTAGCACTAATAATAAATCTCCCTCACCTCCTCCCTACGATGCTCAGGCCCAGGCCTTGGCCGGGCTTCTTGTGGAGCTCTACGGTGAACGAGTCCCACAGGTCTTCCTCCTTGTACTGGGTCTCGTCCCTGTAGACCACCAGCCGGACTCTCTGCGGGGTCTGCCGCAGCACGTTGATGGCTTCATCGTGACTGGCTGCACGCAGGTCGATGCCGTTCACCTGCAACGAAAGAAAGAGGAGTTTGTGTGCTGTCAACACTCCGTCAAAACCCTAATTATTGTTTGTATTTACAAAAATGCTCTGACCTACACTGAAGGTTAATTTTGAAAGAATAAATGTTTGGGCCAATTTCCATATTTGGGACTCCGTTCTTCTATCCCTGATATAAAGTGAACGTAGCAGAGGACTATAAAAGTGCTAACAGGTTAAGTTAATGCTAAAACAGAATTTTCCTTTAACAACTAAGGTTACATTTCCTCTCTAGAAACCCAAACTGCTGAGATGTCTGAAAACTGGATCATAATATATTAAAATCACAGGGTGATGTTACAACACTCAGATTTCACTAAAGGGAAGCAGCTTTCCTTCAGAAGTCTGTGAGAAGCTCGAGTGGTCAGTGTGAGGGTTGACGTCCAGCTTCTTTTTTTTTTTTTTAACCACATTAAAGCGAGGAAATACCCCATTAGCTTTCGCCGTGGATGTGCAAAAGATTTTTCCCAGCTAACGGCATTGCTGCGGACTGGGAAAACCACTCTTTTCAACTTCTCCTCTCTGACCCTGTTTTCTAAACACAGCAGCTTGGCTCTGTGACAGAAAGGAATAGTAGAGGGCAATTAAGTCGTAAGGGGTGTGTGTGTGTGTGTGTGTGTGTGTGTGTGTGTGTATGTATGCATGTGTGCCTTTCAATTCAGGTCTACTGACTGAGCTACCATAACTAAACTCCTGAGCCCCACCCCTCTGTGACAAAGCATGAGGTCAAACGGAGGGCAAATCCAAGTTGAGCTGGGATACTTAACTTGTCTTTCCACGTGAAGCAGACAGAGATATATACTAGTGCTTCCTTACATATTTGAGATAAACACAGATTTATTCATTCATCACACACTTGTTGTATCAAACAGTTTGATCTCTGACCCAACTTGGAAACCCGAGCTTTCATGTCAAAACTCCTCGGGCAGCCACGTCTGAAGACACCCTCTCTTTTTTATCTGGGTCATACGTGATGCTCATTATACCGCACCGCACCTCGAGGATTTGGTCTCCTGCCCACAGCCTGCCATCTTTGGAGGCTGCCCCTTCTTCATAAACTTCATGGATAATGATGGCCCCCTGGAGTGAGAGAAATAAAGAGAGCAAATAAGTGCAGAATAGGAGGAGAAGGTGAACAGGATACAGGGCGGTAAATAGTAGTTGGGGGGGAATGAGGTAATTGTACAAACACCATGTTGGAGGAGAGGATGGTTGTAAAAATGACGTGTGTGATTTATTGTCTTTGCGTTTTACAGCAAACATACATTATTTTAGATTCTCATTCTGAGTGTCTGTGTGTGTTCCTGGCTTCCAGTGTGTTTTCTCTGCGTTCCAGTGTCATCTGGGGTTCAGAGGTTAGATTCCAGGGCTGGATATTGTCTGCTGCGGCCGAGGCCAGACAAAGAGCTGCCCCTCCTGCCCACCCCCCCCCCCCACCCCACCCCACCCCAAGCCTGACTGAGCAGACAGAATGGATGAGGCTGAGGAGAGGACAGCGGGCAGAGGAGGAGCAAGGCTGTGACAACATTATTTCCTACATTCCTGAGCCGCCGCGGCTATTTCCAGCATCAGTTATACCACCACTAAAGATTCTAAGTGGGTGGTAACTTAAAAATACAGCCACATAACTTTTAGTAATTTACTCTGTATTTCCACAAAAGGATTACGGACTGTAAAATCAGCAGAACTGTGTTGTTGAATCAATTATTTCTTTAAAAAACTAAGTCATAATTAACTCCAAGAATGTTTTTGCTGTTTTTTGGAGTTTTTGCTGTCTTCTAATATCAGAATAGCTCTTTGTTAAAGTGATATGGCCTCATTAGCAGATCCAGTGTCATATTTTTTGTTTCCTACCAGCAGGGTGTCACAGCCTCCCACAATGCTAAGGCCCAGGCCCGTGCGGCCTTTGCAGATGTCGATGGTAGTCTCACAGCCTGGGATGATGGGACAGGTCGCCGGGTCGCAGGTCAGAGTGGAAGGGGTGGACGAGCGACTTGGACCTGAAATAGAGGAAGAAAGAGAAGTGAGGTACAATGTAAAAGAAAATAATTATCTATTCATCTTGGAAGCAGAAAATGGGGTCTTTTTTAATTGTAAGCAAACTCACTGATTCCTGCTTCTGCCTCCGGTTGACTCAGGGTAGTCGTGGTGGCGCTCGGCATGCTGGGTAGACTGGCATAGACGCCATCCGAGCAACCAATGTCCTGGTAGGCAGACTGGGGAGAGGAGAAGGAGGAGGGGATCTCATTTGTAGAGAAGGTTAGCTTCACTGGACCTTTGGTTTTTCTCAGTAGAGAATTGACCTAAAACACAGTAGAATTATCACACTCCAGCTTTACATCATAACTCTTATTTTCTAGAGAAATCTAATGTAATAATTTCAAATACTGCAAATAATGCTGTTTAAACACATGATTATACAGTTAACTTCCACTGACACACTGTACCTTTTCCACACTGTAGCCTAGCACCGATTCACCATTCACGGATAAGAGTTTGTCCCCTGGTTTCATGCAGCCCTCCTGCATAGAGCACATCGTATATTTGATTAAAAATTAGCTGTGTAATGTACACAAACCATGAGCTACAGGATGCAATACATACTCTGCCCGTGTGTCCTTTCACTTCAGCTATACTCTGAATCTCAACTCCACTCTCAGTGTTCCCCTCCTCAAAGGTGATGCCAAGTCCTCCGTCCTCCTATTGGAGAACAACATTGGTGCATAAATTAAAAAAAACACACAACTACATTAAACTGACACCATTTAATACATCTGAACATGGCCACCTTGTGGAGCAAAAGCATGCGGACTGACACACGGAACTTGCTTCCGTAGCTTTAACATGTGCTAAATAATAGAGCTGCACCTGCAACTGACAATTATCTCCAGAAAGATAATTATCTCCAGCTTCACCTTGCATCCCACTTCTGATCTTTTGTTCATAGGGAGGGTTTTAGCCAGATGCTGCTGCATTTACACAGTCATCCCCCTGTCGCCTTATCTACCAGATGGATAGTCCTAAACTGGAGCTCCCGTCCAGGTGCTGTAGCTTTTCCAGCAACATTGTGTTTCCTGTTTCTCCTTCTCTTTTCTTTGTCTCATTGTCAGTTCACCCGAATCACACACACAAAAAAAATCATGTTTATCAAATGAACTATTGTTGTATGTAGTCATGCAAAATGAAATTCAAAGAATTCAAAATAATCCACAGACTAAACCGCTTTCAGTGTGAACTGCTTTTCAACGTTTTTCAAATCTGTTGTGATATTTTTCAGTGCTTGACATCTGAAAATCTTGCCAAATAAAACTGAATAGCTAGAAAATAGACACCACAAGGGGTAAAAAAATGTTTTCCTCTTTTTATTATTTGGGTGAACTGAGCCTTTATGTCCCTTTGGAACTGCTCTTATCCTATTCACATGTTGGTGTATTTAGTCAGCCTTTTATTTAACAATGTTCTGTCTCTTTTCGCTTTCCTGGCAGCTCGTCAGGCTCGACTGCTCCTGTGAGCTCCCCACTCTCTTCCTCGGTCATACCCCATTGACTTTTTTGTGTATACCTCTCTCATTATTGCATTGCTTCTAACTTTCTCTCAATTCTTGTCTTTATTTTGGTATTTCAAAAGGAACAGGATTCTTATGTGCTTGTTATGTGTATATGGGTGTGGGGAGGAGGGGTCCAGCGTTTCTCACCTTCAGCTTTATGAGGTGATGCATATACTTTGAAATATCGGCGTCACCATTAGCAGCAGTTGTTTGGAGCTGTGTGGAAACAGGCAGTAGTTGGTACAGTACGAAGTAAATGACTGAAACTTGTGTGCGTGTCCGTTAGCTGGTGGGAGTACAGTACTGAGTGTTTGTGTGTCTACACAACTGTTAGTGGTTTTTGAATGTCTTGGGAGTTGCACACAGGCATGGGAGGTTGGGATCTTCAGGACCACACAGACTTTTATGAGCAAGAAAACAAATAAGGGAGCATGAAACCGAATCTTTTAAGGGTAGAAAAGTACTAATAATGGGTACTAATAATAATTGTGTCTGTGTGTCATAGCTTCCTATGCAGTTGGAACTTTGCTCTCTGTTAAAGCGCTTGTGCATATGTGCAACGTCTGTGTTATGTGTTTGGCCATAAGCGCAGTTGTACCTCAGCGTGGGGCTCCGATGTGTCTCCCTCGTGTTCTCTCACTGGTCCCACGGCCATCTGGTTCAGCGCCTCCGTATTCCTGTTCCAAATAGCCATAACTCACGTAAATCGTCGCTCCTCTGCTTTGTGACAGCGGAGCGATGATTTACGTGCGCTGATCACAGTGTCTCTCTTTCAGGGAGTCAGGAAAGGGATGTGAGTTAAGTAGAAGGTTAAGTAGACTGATCCTGACAGAGGCGGTTCGCAGGAGGGTCAAGGGTCATAAGTGTCGGACTCTGTTCATATGTCAGCTGCTATGGCCCAACTCAAAGCTGTATACGGTAGTTTTTGCAGTGAGTGTGAAAGAAACACTCACTCCTTTGTACTGGCAGGAAATAATAGAATACTTGTGCCATTGGCCATCAATTAACTGCTAAATTAAAATTACACCTAACAAAGAAATTTATTTTCTGAGATGCTAGAACTTGTTAACCACAGTCCAGCTATGATTTCCTTTGTGCATTACATTGTGGGAGAATGGCATACATCAACATACTCTATTTTCCTCATTATACACACAAAACCAGCTTACAACTACTACATAGTGTGGCTTTGGAGCTATAGTGGTGCGTGAATCAATGTTTTTATGGTCAAATGCCACCTTGATTTAAGATATAAAATTACTGGAAAAACTTCACCTTCAAGTGTATCCTTCTGTTGAATTACAATAGCTCCCTCTATTGATGTTTAAAAAGCATTACAATAGACTCAAGGATTCTCATGGCACTTTTCATTATAAGCATTGTCTGACAATGAAATGTTGGTTCAGTTGCCATGGAATCTATTTTTTTTTTTTAGCTTTTATAGGAAGAAAAACGATTTTATACCTGACAAAGATGATTTTGACATTAGATTGAGAGCTCTTGATTATGGAGGAAGCATTCTGGTGACTGTGGCCATAAAGGACCTGCCCATTGATCTGAGAGGATACAAAAATAGAGGAAATGGAATTAGATACACTTTTTTAAATACAAAACAGTGACATCAAAAGCCATAGAACAGAAAAGAAAAGAAGTTTAAGGAGTCAAATGTCCCGCAAACTTTGCTTACTTGAGCTGATAACCATAATCAATACACATCTTACCTCAAGCAGCTCGTCCCCCACCACCATTCGTCCATCCTTGCCGGCCGCCCCGTTGGGGTCTATTCCCACAACAAACACGCTCATGCGAGAGCGGTCCCTGTTACCCGCAAGGCTGAGGCCCAGTCCTGTCTTGCCTTTCTCCAGCTCGATCATGTGTAAGACACCTGGGAGGCTGCCATAGCGCTGGATTATGTTCTCTGAAAGAGGCAGGTGAAAGTCATGGCAGACAGATGTAAGCCTGGACTTCCATATCAGTTCACGTCATGCTGCTCAAAAAAAAGGGGCCGGTGTTTGGATTCGGCTGATTTTTTTTCTTTTTGTTTTTGTTTCAGTCTCACCTTCTATCTCTTTGTCTCAATCTTGTCTCTATTGTTATCCCTTCCCTTTTTTACTCCAGTCCCCCCACTTATTCTCCATCCACCTCTCCTGTCTCTGGTGTGTTAGATAGCCACTCTTCAGACCAATGGGCTCCTGTTGTTCTGGGCTCCCTGCCACTGTTGAACCATCAGTCCTGTACTAATCTCCACAACTCACCTCCCCGGGCCCAACCTCATCAATCTTATCCCCGCAGGATGAGCGCACACTCTCTACACACACACACACACACACACACACACACACACACACACACACACACACATATATTCACCACAGTCCCAGGTGTTTGGAGGCTGGAAGTATGTCCTTTATGCTAGTTTCCTGAGTTGAATGTGAGTGACTGTGACCCCGTTCTCCTTGCGGAGTGAGTTTATCCTACATTTGACATCTGCAGGATGCTAATTGGTACATTGAGTCCTTCAGGTTTTGCTGAGGTACGACAACCTCAAGCATATGAATCAGTGCTCTTTTATTGCCGAGTCTGGCTGGATTTATGAGCAGGAAAGGCAAATGTGTAACTAGGAGGACCTCTAGTGGCAGTTAAAGCACACTATAGAAAGTTGATGAATATACTGGTTGTGTCCATTAATTGTTTCGGTTAAGGTGAAACTTCCTGGAGAATATAATACCAGGATTTACTTATGATATGCAAGTGTGAAAGTCAGTAAAAAATATAAAAAAACTTTCTTTTTTTTACCATTGTTCCTTACATAATCAATAATTACACCCTTAGAAAAAGATTAACTGAACTCACTCCAGTTGTATCCAAACTCATCCTCCTCCTCTTCCTCCTCCACCTCCTCAACCACCTCGTTCTCCTCCTCTGCCTCAGCGGGTCTGCCAGGAATCTCTGTCAGCGTGTCTGTATCAGTCTCTCCCACATGGGGCACCACTGGCAGGAGGAGGACAGCGCTGGTGGGAGAAGCCTTCGCCGCCTCACGCTTCGCCGGCTGTCACGCCACAGATGGAGTTTGAAAATAGCTTATTAGTGAAAGTTAAAGAGAGAGACGAAGGCTTTATCTTTGCGTTTAAGTCTGAATCAACTTGAAATAAAGTGTGTATGGAGACAGGAAGGCACATGAGAGCTGTCGATGTGATCAACAGAAGCCATATGCTTGGTTTACATTAACAGCTTCATCTGTTATAGCAGGAAATGTTTGCTTTAGGCTGAGGAATAATTATGGTTCCATATAGATACCAGAGCCTCAAATCAGAGCTAGGTTAATCAGCTTATTTAAGCTACGGCCTAGAGTTATAATACAATGATGCTTAGTCAAAAATGCTATATTTAATTACTCAATTATACTTATTACATTAGTACTTAAAATCAAATATTCACCCATCAGAAATTCATATATACACTTACCTGAAAACCAAGAGCAACAAATCAATTGAATTGTTGTTCTTTTTAAAACAGTGAATACTGATTCTGGAAGGTTAATGAAGTGACAAAGAGCAAAAGACAAACAGGTTCCGATTTCACAAAAAGGCACAAAGGATTTCAGACAGATGGAGGAGATGTTAGGACATGAATAAGTGTGCGCATGTACAGCATGTTAGAATACATTCAATACGTGACGCGTATTGCGGTATATCAACACGTCTGTACAGACGTACACAGAAAGTGGAAAGCACAACACAGAGACCCACAAACCTTAAACGGGGTAGGAGTGAAAGGGTTAGTTGGGGAGAGGCGGAGGTAAAGTCTACTGTGACTGTCACCCTCCTACAGAGAAGAGACAAAGGGCAACAACTTTAGCAGACAACACATTTCTGACACCCACATCTATTGACAGGCATATACCAGCGTGAAAATATATCACGCCTACACAAATTTGACTTAAAACACTCCTATATTTCAAACCTGGTTTCTTGCTGCTGTGGAACAACGACAAATACAAAACACTGATACAATACAGTCATTGGAGGGTAACTGAAAACACCAACCTTGTCCTTGTTGTCCCTCGTCATCGCTGCAACTTTCTCCTCGCTGGTGTCTGTTATCAACGACTGCTTTGTAGAAGACGGACATGAAGTTAAATCACTCACGTATGAGAGAGCACATAATATTCACTTCAGTGTCCTCTGATAGTGAATGATACTGTATCATATTGCTACGTAATGCAGAAATAGGATTTTCATAAATACTGACAAGTTCATACAAAGTCAAAAGAGTTCTGAATGGCTAAAACTACTTGTGCGCCATATGCTGTATAGTGAAAAACCATCTGTTAATAAATGTTACAAGTGAAGATTTAACTAAAGAAAAACTTTCACTTGTTTTGTTCAGCTAACTTGAAGCTTGGCAAAACCAGACTAAGAACTAAGGCACTCACACACGCAACCACGCCAAAACATTGATGTGTTATTATCCAGCACCATATCCCAATCCAAGCTTGACCATTTCTTCCCAATGATGCTTTAAAAGTTTTGCCAAAGAAGTCTGCCATTTTGGAAAAAAACCAAAACATAAATAAATAAAAAAGATATTGCAGTTTATAGGTCTTCACACAACAGTGTTTGTGTTGAGTGCCGGCTGTCGCATCAAGTTGTCTTGTTTACCTTGGCAGAGAGACACTTGGGACAATGTTTGAGGGATAATTGGGAAAAATTGGGCCTTTAAAGCTTGGGACAGGAGGAAAAATAAAACGCACTTAAAGTAAAAGCCTCTTCTATGATTTTACTTCTTGGGTGGCGCAACAGAGGGACACAGCACGGCACAGGAAGAGAGATATAAATAAGTCGACATAGTATATATTCAAAATAACTGTAAGGCACACGCATATATACAGAGGCAGAAATAGGACAAAAAGTTTAGCATAGTAATTTTCATGACAGCAGAGGTATTTAGAACAATTCACACAAATTTGAATGCACCTCATAGCTGTCATGACACTGAATTAAATGCCCACACGGTGCACACATGCACACAGAAACCAAATTATTTTTGATCACTAACCCACCCAAGACTCCACACAAACACATGCAGGCTTTCTTTCATCCTCTTCTTCACTCATGTTAGCAGCTCGTTGTTAACACAAATTTGAACTGAAGTCAGAGGGTCAAGGAGAAGACGCACCCATACACGAGCAGGCAGACACAGACATGGGGTAGCTTTCTAACCTGAGGGAGGGCAGGCGCTAAGTAGGTTTGATTAGTGCAGCAGAGGCTTGACCCGCGGTGGCTATTTAGCTGCAGAAAGGGCAGGGGCGGCTTCTACAAAGCAACACACAGGAGCAACAAGCTGACAACATGACGAACATTTATTATGACGGCTAAGCCCCTTCTGACAAAATTGAATCGGAGGCCATCCGGGAGAAAAAAAAGAAAAAGAAAAAACAGAAAAGAAAGGCAGTGTGTTGAGGACAGAAGCACCTCAGGTTTTTTATTTAAATGAGTAACCATTAAAGCAAGCGGCTTCCTTGAGGACAGCCGTTTCCTCTACATCAAAAAAAATCAGAGCAAAGCCTCTTTCTCTGAAATACTTTAACAAAATGTTTCAGAGATTCCTCCGGGCTACCTTGAGATTATTCACTGCTTACAAGAGAAGGATTTGAAACTTAAAGGGAAGCAGCAAGGATGTGCTATTATACTCTCTAGGTGGCCCCCAGTGGCTGCATTTAAAAACGGCATTACTGACCGGCCTACAGCACTTAGAGATATGATCCAATCAAAATAATATTTTTAAATCTATTAAGTCCATTGTTTTAATTTCAGTGCACCTGCAACTTAACATCAGTGACTTTATAGCCAACTGAAAATATGTCTCCTTCCTAAATGTTTGCCTGTTCCAATATGCTGGGTGGAAGCAGTGTGGAGTATTATTTCACGGCCCCATAGCCACACAGGTATGAATTTCCTTATTTGCGTTTGTATTGTTTATTTGATGACTTCCTTTATTAGATGAAGCAATGACATTTCAATAACCCCCATGGTTAAATTGCATTAAGAATCTAGTCTGGATGTGTATTGAATGTCGGCATAACACACCTTCAGCACAGACATTTTCTAAAATACTTGCTAGTGCCAGCGACTAAATTGATTTAACCATTTTCCGACCCTTTCGATTAAAAACATCATTGTGGGTCATGTCATCGTTACGGTTAGATTGCTCTGTGATAGAAAATAGAATAGGATATTGCATATTAAAATAAACCTCCGCTTCTTTTTCTCCCAGAGGGTGTCTCCAATTCCAGTTTGTCTTTATTTCCGTCAATCACACTTTATGTGTGTATCAAAGTCAAAGATGCAGTTAAGAAGAAAGACTCAGCTAACAGTGTGAGAGACAGCGAAGAAAGAGGAGTCGGGAGAGATAATGCAGCAAAGATTAACCGTGATGGATAGCTGATGCAATAGAAATGAGAGAGACAAAAAGAGAAAGACGGATTACCTGACGCGTGCGATGTGGCATGCATGTGAAAGCGGTGGTGTGTTGCTCTACAGCAGGTGATGGAGCTGAGCTATATATTGACTCAGGCTGGGAAAGCAGTGTGGAGGAACAGACATGCAAGTTTGAGGCAACTCATAATGTAGCAACTGGAGTCAGAAATGAAGTATAGAGACGTATTGTGTGGACATATGGTACTAACCTCTTTAAAGGATTGTTCAGCATTTTGGGGAATACACTTACTTGCCTTCTTCCTACAAATTAGTCTGTATGCTAAATATGAAGCTACAGCCAGCACACGGTTCGCTTAATCTAGCGCAAAGACTGGAGACAGGGGGAAACAGTTAGCCTGGCTCTGTCCAAAGGTAACACAACCTGCTGCATCAATTAGTGAGTGCTGGTCGGAAGAGTTTCGCTCCCTTTGGACAGATCTAGGCAAGTTGTTTACCCTGTTTCCAGACTTTGTGCTAACCATCTGCTAGCTGTATGGTTTGCATCAAATTTAGCAAGCAGACAGCTACGAGAGTGATATCAATCTTCTCATCCAGGTTTTTAGCAAATATGTAAATGTATTTAAACCTGCAATTCTTTTGCCACTTGGGGCAATCATTAATGAAAGACTTATATCCTTTCTCCTTTTACTTGTGTTATTGGTATTCATCAACTCCTGAGGGAAATATCTGGCTGCTGTAACCGTTGTTACCAGCTGGTTGCTTACTTTGTCTGTCTGCTGTTTGGTACTGAGCATTTAGCATACAGTAGATGTTTAGGGCTTTTTCGGCTCAAAACAGCTGCCAGCTATGGTGGAAAATAGTATTATAAGAGTAATGAGCGTGAAACAAAGATTGAAGAAGTTGCAGGCTGGAGAGCCAAAACAATGAGCTGAAAGATGCTATAAACCGTATATCTGAGAGACACTGCAGAGTTGGGTGATATTTATGTAAGGGTACGTCACTGCGAGACGCCCCTCTGTTGCTATGATAAAAATATTGATTATAGCCTGTTGAGCATGAGTGTCCATTAAGATGAATTCCTGATGTCGCTCTGTACATGCTACATTAGATTATGAGTTGCAACAAAGCTTAATGAGTAACCAGAATGTTAAGGAGAGCATGTGGGAATATCTCACACATAACGATGCATGAAAAGTGATGGACTATGAGAGATCTGACACTGGAACCAAGCCAGTAGCAGCACCAGCTGGAAACTACTTAGTCATGCTTTAAAAGCCCGAGGGCACTTTCAAACAACAAACGATGCTGTTGATACGGGGATTTTCAATGAGTGTTGCACTTAGAGGTTAAAACTTGCTAATATATTTAATTTGCCATGCTGGGTTTGTTGTCTCTTTCATAAAAGATTTCAAAATTACATTCAACATTCAAAAGCCAGCCAAATACTACAGGGGTTGTATATTGTGCATTTTGGTTTTTGAAAGTGCCCTAAATGGCCTGTGCAGAAACACTCAACTTTTTACTTGAGGTGAAAAAGAAGCTACAGAGTGAGGAAATTGTGACCTTTTAGATTATGAGGTAGTTACCAGTAATTGGTTTGACACTATTATACAGACTTACCCTGGGCCTGTGAATAATACTCTGGACCAAGAAGGAGACAGTATTGCCTGCCCTGCGTATGGCCTCAACTGCCTCTTCGTGACTGGCATCTCTTAGGTCTACTCCATCCACCTGTCAAGAGATATCAGGGAGAAGAGTCTGTCACATGCCCCAAACTCTCCACTCCACATGAGTTTTTTTTTTTTTTAGGATTTCAATTCTTCAGGGTTTTTTGGCAGTCTCTCAAATGACTGCATCTTAACAAAATAACACTGGACAAGGTTAGTAGTATGAAAACAATTCTCCTTATTGATTAAAATCTTCCACAAAAAAAAACTTTTATATAAAAAGTTTATTAGATCTTGTGATCTGAAATATTCTCACCTCTACAATCCTGTCTCCGGTCTTCAGGGTCCCGTTCTGTCCGGCGGGACTGTCTTCCAGGATGTGCTTGATAAAAATCCCCCTCATGACCTCTCCATTGCTCAGCCGGCTGCCCATCCCTCGGCCGCCGACGATGCTGATACCCAGGGACTTGCCTGGCTCTCGGAAGAGGTCCACTCTGAGGAATATACCAATATCAGCATGCTACATACGGACATTTTTCACTTCAAAGCTGTGACTCTGGTACAGATTTGAATCTGTAAATCTTTTATTGGATGCCGGACAGAAAATAATTTCTTTGTGTGCTTCATGCTTGTGCCCTCAGTCTACCATGTAAGTTCTTCAAACCGTATCTGTCATGGACTTGTTCACAAAATTAGATCAGAAGTGTAGATACAGTGTGTACTCACTTCCTGGGTTGGTTCCAGTTGCTGTAAGAGGCACTCTCCTCTCCCTCTCCATCTTCCCGTTCGGGGAGGTTAGGAATATCTCTAAATAAACAATAGCAGAAGGAAAGAGTTTGATAAAACTCTAAAAACTTAGATTCACATGGTTGCCAGGGGTTTATTCAAGCTTTGAAGACAAAAAACAAACAATAAGTTCAGTTAGATAACAAGACTTAAAGGTACCGTTTGACCTTAAGGGAGTTTTTGACCACTGGTAGTGCTATGTAGTAATGTTTTCATGCTATACCACTGATTGACAGTTGGTGGCGGTAACACACAAAGAAGTAGCAATGTGCCAACAAAGGCTTGCTAGCTAGCAAACATGCATGTAAACAGTGCACCATTAAATACATTCAACATGTTTGTTGGACCTAACAGACTGAACAGAAGCACTGAATGCAAACATAAAATGTGCCCTGTTGAGATTCCTTGTAAACAAGCCAGTTCATTTTACCCGTTTGTGGAATTACATGACAAAAGTGAGTGTGAGGGCGTACTTTGGAGCTGGAACAGGGACTGGGACTGGAGCTGTCTCAGAGAAGACATCTTCTTTAGGCTGCTCTAGGCTGGCCTTGTACTCCTCCAGATACTCTGCTGGAACATATGTAATGCTGAACACACACACAAGTGCACACACACACACACACACACACACACACACACACACACACACACACACACACACACACACACACACACACACACACACACACACACACACACACAAATGAGTCATTTCTTAGAGCAAACAATTTGGCATCCCCCATTTTTTAGAAACTCCATTACCCACCTTAGAGGTAATTATGCTCCTGTTCATTATGAACTCAGATGGTAATTTGGCAAAAAATAGAGAAGAACTGACAGTCAAGTGCAAAAAAAATATGAAAGCATTAAAACTGCCCCCTTTTTTTTCAAATCAGCTGCTTGTTTACATCCAGAAGCTTGTTTTTTTTTTCTCTAGCAAATTTACCTGTAAGCACAAGACTGCAGTAATACTGAACTGTCTATTTCTCCAATGTATTCTCCAGCCCAAGGTGAAATGCAATGAATTGTACATCAGCCCTTGTCGTCTGACTGTTCATAACAGATGTTTACCTTCATGAATGTCTGAGCAAATCATGTCTTCTATCACTTACTGTGTGAAGGAACATGTGACACATTTTAAAGGGCGTATCAATCATTTAATTCATGAGCAGGTTACTAATTCATGATGAGAAATGAACAGAAAGCTAGCTGACACAATCTGACACCCACTTAAAAGTCCCATTTCCCCCCCAACAATATAAAAATTCAAAAATCAGAGTGAAGTTGTTTCTGAAGGGCACAATAACACATCTGAGTGGAGCTGACAGATCTTCAACAGATGGGTTGATTTGGTTTTTACACATGATGGCATGCGGACAGAGAGGGAAATTAATCCCGGTGAAATAATGAAACGGGTGAGCGAGTTCATTAAGAACATGCAGTGCGAAACACGGAGGAGCTTAAACGCCGAAGATTAATGTAAAAACAGTGAGTTTACAAATTGAGATGTCAGTGGCACGAAACATCCAGGTAAGAACGGAACATGTTAGTCACAGAGAAAGAAGAAGTTATGCAGCAAGTGTGAGTACAGCAAGTTGATGCAGTCAGACAAGATTTATCCAGACATCATTTTTTGTCCATGTGTGTTAATATATGTACTGACACTATTTTAAGTTTGTTTAAGACAGATTTGAAATGTGTGTTGGTTAATATAGTTCGGTGTCACACATTAAAATGTTAATCAATGTATTTGAATGATATTAAAGACAGCATTTAAACCAACTGAATTCCAAAACTTTTATATCTTGTTGTCCTCATTGTTTTGACACTGATCTGACTTTCTAATTCTGTGTCTGGATAAAGCTCAGCAACAGACTGCGATAAAGCCCCCCCCCCCCGACAGCAGATGGAGAGAACGAGAGGAAGGGAACCAAGATGGCAGCTCTCTTGCCGAAACACCACCGGCGTGGAATACTCACACATAAAATGGGCACAGATCGTCCTCAGGTGCACAAGCAGATCTAGAATGTGAAGAGTTGGCTTTTATGCACCGAAGCTAAAAAAACTGCGAAGTTGAGTTCAGCAAGTGGAACTTGTGAAATACCACATCCAACGTTCTTCCCCTCAAAGGATGGGAAGAGTAGTGCAGCAGTAATACAATTTACTTATTGTAAATACGGCTTATTTGGCTTTTAGAATCACTGAATACCACTTTTGATTGTATTCCCTACAAGTTGAGACTTACACATACCTCTGTACATCACCCAGTTCATAGAAAAAATTACGTACACAATCAAGTACAAACACTAAATATTAAATTCTAACCAATTTGAAATCAGATCAACAGTGTTGAGGGATCAGTGACAATCAAACAAATAAGGTTAAGACTCAACTATTCAATATATTTCCTTATTTAAAGCACAATTTCATCAATGTTGTACTAAACTACTATTCATTTAGGCAAAATTCTGGTACAACTGTAAGGCAACATTCAACACAGATACATTTTACATTATTAAAAACTTGTATTGAATAATTTCTACTTCTGCTACTCCCTTTGCAGAGTTTCAGTGTGTGCAAACGTGTGTGCACTGCTGTTTAATCATCGCCTCTTACCCCAGGTCTGGTCCAATAAGAGAGTGTCTTCTGAGCATTGCACGAGCCTGTGCATTGGTCAGGTTGGCTGTGGGCTCCCCGTTGATGGCCAGGATGAGATCTCCAACGCCCAGACGCCCGTCGCGGCTGATCGACCCACCGTGGATTATGCTGCGGATCAGCATTCCCAAACCATCTTTCATGGCGCTCACTGTCATCCCTTTGAGGTAGATTACAAGAAACTTACACACTGAACTGGGATTTTGATCTGAAATAATACCAAATAGTTGAAACCTCTAACATTTAAGAGCAATTACTGATGACTTACAAATGATCTACTAAATTAAAGATCAAAACCTCAATGCTGTCAAGAGACATTTTCAGAACTAACTCTAATTTAAATGAAAAGCTACCACTCATATAGTAGAACTATATAGTTTCATTGATAAATTCCACTTAAAATAAATCAGTTCTGAAACAGGAAAACCTCCTCATCCCAGTAGTTTATCCTACAAACTGTCACAGTGTTCACAGATTTGGTTTTTATCTCACTCTCAATGGTGTTACTTCAGAGCGTGGCATAATATATTTAAACATAATATATCTCAAACTTTCAAACTCTCTTACAGCTCAGTGTACAGGGGTTCTTTAGCAAAGATCATAAAAATAACATCAGTATGTTCTATTTAGGAGTGGAAAACCCAAATGTATTGCGTAGAATTTTGGAATCGAGCAGGAAATAGAAACCTTCAAAGAGTGCTAAAAAGCAAAATGAGGTAGCATCTTCAGTGAGGAACTGAGGATTATAAACAGTGCCTCCGTAACACCTATTTGTTTTAGAAGTTAAAACTTAGTATTCTCTGAGTCAGCATAAATCCCATGGCAGGTTTTTGAAATGCAAATACCCTGTATAGCAATGAAATTACCCTTTCAGACTGGAAAACTGCCAAAGAAATCTTTTCTATCATTTTGCTTCAAATCTGGCATTCATAAATCATGACACACAATAGTAAAGGCCAATGCGCCTTTCAGTCCTGCTCACTCATTTACACTTGTGAAGGCTGAGGAGAAAATAAATAAAAAAAACAAATAGAAGAATGTGAGGAAAATTAACACAAACCGAGGCTGGAGTTGCCCTTGACAACTGTGATCGTCCTTTCAAAATTGCTCCCCGAGGTCAGCGCTTCCTTGTCACCGTCTTCTGCTGACTCTGTCACACCAACCTCAGCGTCCTTGAGGGTAATAATTCAACACTGTTATTCATGAAAGTAAATGAAAATACAAGGCCGGGTTCCAAACAAAAGCAGGTTTTCTCTAGAGAAAGGGCAGGTATGGCGAATGGGCTATGTGAAGGAGTTCAAAACAAATAAGCTTAGAACTTTGTTTATGTAAGATTTAAAAAAGAATTTGATGACGAAGAAGGTTAGATGCAACCTTAAGAAATTCAATTTAAAGGAAGATCAAGGAAGTTGTTATAATGCACCTTGAAATAGAGAATCTGTGATGTTTTCTGTGTGTCAATCAGTAATCCTCATTCATAAATTAAACTGAAAACTTACATATTATATGTTAAATACTTGAAATCTGTGGTTTATAATTAGACAGCTTATTATACCTTCATCAAAATCTTTATGTCTCCAATATCTCCAAAAGACACAGGTGGTTCCTTCTCATAGTGGAGAGACTCCATAGGTTCTTCCAGGACGTTAGATCTGGCCCCTTTTTCAGCAAACATGCTGTATGAGTTTGAGCACTCCACTGGTTCCTCATTGGTCGAGCGCTGTGACGGGTACTGATCAGAACTGCTCAGTAAGGCGTTCAAATCCGGTATATGACCTCTCAAACTCGGAGGAGTGAAAGAGGCAGCCTTCTCCGGAGAGAATGACAGAGTGTTGTCTGCGAGGCCGGACGGTGTTGCGAAGCGGGGATGCTCGTCCAACAAGTCCAGGCGAGCTGTCAGCTGGGGTAAAACAAAGCATAGCAGCTGAATGCATGTTCCACACTGTTAGTTAGACAATTGCCCAACAGGGGGAGATTCATCTTCCTCAGTCGCCATCTTGCCCTCCTTCTAATGAGCCATAGAAAAGCCATCAGTGGCCAATAGAGGACAGCAGGAATTACTGGTGATCTTGAGCTTGCCATGCTCGAAATATACTTTTATTATAACAGCATTTAAGACTTTATTAGAACCTGACTGAGGAGTGATGAATCTCAGCAAGCACTTCCCTTTGGGAGCCAGAACAGAAGTATAAATCCTTAGAAGAAAGCGAAAATATGCAAAAACGTGATACAAGTGGGGCTCTGGAAGCAGATATAAGGAGTAAAACAAGTAATAGGAGGATTAATTTTAATAAGGTAGTGATATAAATATGGGTTGAACTGGGCTCTGGCATCTACAAGTATATGTATTCTGAAGTATGACAAGAACTTCTACTACAATTGTGAAAATAAAAAAATACATGAACAGGAAAGTAGATTTTTGTATGTTTCACGGCATTAAAATATAATATCTATGGCATATGGTATGTCTATAGTAAAATAACACCATTAAAAATATGTAACAAGTCATTTATATGGCTAACAGAAATGATCAGAGATGGAGTTGATACAAATAAAAGGCATTTTTACAAATATCTTGGGGCAGAATCAGACAGTTTTCTAAAACACTCCTTTAGCGTCTCTAAAAGTTAATCACACATAACATTAAATCCTTATCATAAAAACAATTCAAATGTCAAACTTTCACTGTCACACTCCAGGCGTACTCACATAAAGCTCAAGATGCCATGAAAGAGAAACTTGAGAGAAAATGTTTCATACCAGTAAATGTTTGTTCTGTTCAATTCATCTAATCGGGGATATTATTTTAAAGACACAGTCTTCCTTAGAGTGGAAGACTGTGATATGGAAAAATATTTCCAGTATGTTTCTATGGTGTTGAGCAGTACAACCGGTGCATGTGCACATGGACAATTCTCTTTAAAGCTAGACACCAGAAAACCAAGTAGCACAACTGTCATCCATCAACGCAATCATGAGAAAAAGAGCCCTCACTGCTTCGTTGACAGCGACCTGGAAGGCTGACTTTGTGGACTCAACACTCAGCTGACCTTTATATTGTTTTTCCATAAACAGCCATGGACTAGAAATTTAAAAAAGCATTAATATAACTAAAAAAATATCACCTTAGATACTGTCACGCAAGTCTGAAAAGCTGCTCCACCATTTACTGGCACTCAAGTAGAGCTGAGATCTATCAACCGACTTGTTGCCTCTCTCTAGAGCTTTAGGGGGAAAAGTGTTCATCACCACAAGAAGACGAAGCTCTCTGACCTCATACAAACATTCGAAATCTGTTTTGTGAAATCCCTCACTAGTATAAAATGCCCCCAAGTTGTCCTGACCCATTCCTGTCCCTCTAGGCTGCCCTATTACAGCATACATTTCTTAGGAAGACCCTACAAATAAGGTCAGCTGCGACCTTTGGGAAAACTGGGAGCACACAGATACCCTTGAGAAAACAGTTTGTGTGTCCCTTGCCCCTTGATAATTTATTATCCATTTGGGGATTTGCTGTTCTTGAGGCACCCAGAGCAATAACAGCAGCAGCAGCAGCTACGATCCTCACATAACAAAGTCAGTAATGTTGTTAGTGCCTCGGCAAAGAAAACAAACATTTCTCGTGACATTTTGGCACTCGGTAACCAAAAACAAAGAATAATGACTACATGCTGTACAGCTCCTTTTGCAGTAACATTAAATGAGATGATGGTATAATTTGAACTCGTGCTTTCGCTATTTGGTTGCTGCCGTTTAAAGAAAACAGTCCCTTACCTTGGGCGTGGAGGAATGTAGGTAATCCAGGTCTGCGCTGCAGGTGCTGCCATGAAGAGCAATCATGGATGCCTGGAAAGTGTCGTCCTCTATCCCAGTGTAAGTGTGATCTAACACCTTCTCATCAGACAGGTCTGCCTCGCTGGTGTCAATCTGTGATAATGAATGGAAGTAATGTAACAAAATGGGATACAAAACTGGCCTTTGTTATTGAGCAATTTAGTGAACTATCCAATCACAGAGCTGCAATTTCTACTTCCCTAGTGTCACTAATACTAAACTACAAAACACTGCTGATACAAAATGAATTTGGCTCTTAATTAATTGCATATATTTGTCAGAATACTGCTTATACATAACTGTTGCATGATAACAAACAAATCTCTCTTGGAAAAAAAGAGGAACATAGACAAATATCACATGTAAAGTACAATTTGTTTTCCATTTTTCATGATGTTCTGGTTGATTTTTTTCAGTTTTTCCCAAAAGCTAACTGACCAATGCAGGCTCTGCTCGGTAAACGATGCCCTCAGTCAGTCCTTCTTCCTCTCCTTCTTCAACCAAAATATTGTTGAAGTCAAATGAATGGATGGTGGATGATGGAGTAATTTCCTGCTCACCATATGGGTGTGGAGACTGGGAATATCCACATATTCCCTAGGAAAGTGGAGAAATTCTTTCAGTGTCTCCAGCTTTATGTAATTTGATTTTTATAGTTTTGTTTTTTTTTGTGACCAAATCAAGTGCAAATAAATTAGTATGGAATGGGAAAAGATGTTAGGTTGTTAAGATTTTTTATACATTGAGTATAAAGTTAAATATTGATCTTGTTGTTCAAGCAGAGAAATTGCTCAAAACGGCACATTCATAACACTCTTTGAATGATTTCTCAACCAAAATGCTCTTGAACATTTCACATGTATTCTTTAGTAAGAGTTCTCGGTATTGATTTTGTGTAGCATGTAGCCCGGACAGGTATAAGAAAAGCAAGAAGGCATATTGGAGGATTACACTTGTCAGACTCAATTTTGAGAGGCAATATAGCAAAATACCCAAAAATAAGTGCATTCCACGTCCTGCAGGAGAGTTGGATAACTCCACAGAGGCTTCCTACAGCCCTGTAATCCAGCTAACCTTGGCAGCCCAGAGGTCTCACTGTGTAATCCAACAGCAGATTCAATACGAGAGAAATACAGCTCTAAAGCCGAAAGAATGCAAGCAGTTTTGCAGAGAGAAACATCCTGTACAAAGAGCACAGGAGCCTGGAGCGATGAACATGCCGTTGGACAGACCCGATATTTTGACAGGTGCCCCAATGTGTTTAAATGTACAAGAGGGTCTGTGGTCTTGGAAAATTCAATAATATAATAATATGAAACAAAGGGCACAGAGCATTTTAGGTTGGTCAACTCTTCTGAAAGAACATTGGGTGGAATGCTAAACCATGCAGCCTACTTCCACTCCTTTTCCCGCATGAAAAATTCAAGCCCTTGTAAGCTGAACCCTCAGGACTGGATACTAAGTCGCATGTTATAAAAACACCTGACTCACACACACTCACATACATGCAGTTCCAAATCCCTGACATGCTGACCAAATTTTCAAGCCATTTTCAAAACTCCTAAAAACCCCAACAGGTATGCATACCCTGACCCCCCAAAACACATGTCATATTCTATATTTTTCTACATATTTTCAGAAAAGCAAAGAAAAAGTAAAGAGTACTAATTATAATGCTTACAGGCAGTGGTTTGGCAACTCCTATCTGGACTTTGCCGAGCTTGGCCCCCTTCAGGGCCTGGACAGCATCCTCCAGGCTGGCGTTCTCCAGGTTGGTGGTGTTAACGTACATGAGTCGATCTCCTGGCAACAGTCTGCCATCCTGCTCAGCCACACCGTTGGGAACCAGAGAGCGAATCACAATCACCGTCTTGGCTGGGTCCAGCGGGTCCTGTGGAGGAGCCGGTACAGTTTAGTTCAGAGAGGATGTCAACAGGTAAACTATCATAGGCTTAAACTTCTATGGAAATCATAGGAAATGTTATGTATTTGGTTAGCATTACATAGTATGTCCTTTTTTCTGTGGAAATACTATTCAATGTGGATGAAAACATAACCTACAGCCCTGTAAGTTTAAGTAGATTTATATATATATATATATATATATATATATATATATAGTACAAAAACACATGTAAAATAATAACAATAACACATTTTTATGAAGCCTATTTCAAACCTGGTAGTCCAGAATGCTGAATCCCAATCCCCCTTCTCCCTTTTCAAGCTCGATATTCTGGACCTCCAACTCCCACATCGCCAAAGGAGATCCTATTGCCTCCTCACATGTCACATTATCCTGTGTCGCTGCTGCTGCGTTCACCTCTGTGTCTTCAGCAACCAGTACGCTGCTCAGGTCTATTTGCTTCTGCAGAGGAAAGGCCCAAAATCTCTATGTAACAGCAATCCTTTCTCACTTTAACTCCCAACCCATAGGCTGTAACCCTCTAGTTGAGTTTCTGGCTCAGGTTTTTGGCAGTAGATAAAAGGGAAATATCTTTGGGATACTAGGGCCTTAGTACATTATCACAGATAAAGCCAGAGAGATGAAAACCCCTTCCCCAAAGGGAAGCTGCTTTTGATGTCTCATATCTCTAGCAAATGTTGTTGGCTACTGCTCCTGAGGTATTACCAGAATTGGTCTTAATAAACTTTCAGACTCACCTGCTTATCGCTAAGTCTTAATCCATCATGGTTGACAATGTGGAAAGCCAATGGAGCGATTGACAGCCCGGGCTAAGCTAATAATGGTTGATGGGTTATAAAGGAGGAGGAGGACCCAAAGAGCACTGCTCTCCAATCATATTCCCTTGCTTATATGCATGGGCGGGGAAACATTTTTCATAATACATTACTGCATGACAAGGAGATGCAGAGTTTCCGACTGTACTGTATGAATCATCCGCTGCAATGCTCTGTGAGTAATATAGCCTGCATGTTTCTAGCCTTGAGAAAGAGGAGATTCATTCACTTTCTCTAGGTTTTTCCCTTTCAAACATAACAAGCAAACATGTCAAATTCACAGTGATTAGTTCAGAAAAACACATATTCTATATAATTCCAAATATATATTCTTTATAATTAAAAAAAGCTATAGTTATATGCTATAGTATAGCAATGCTAATGGAGTACCTTCAATTCAGGTGTTGTGGACAAAGCTTCTGGCTGTGGCTGGACAGCATCCAAGTCCGTCTGCAGGTGAGGGGCAGGCCTACAGCATGTCATGTATACACAGAGTGGAAGCTCCTTCAAAATTCTCACTACTTCCTTGTGGGTTTCACCAATTAGGGATATACCATTGACCTGTGACAGAAAATGCATACCATAAATAAGTGCAGTATCTAGGGTTCAAAGCAGTGTTAATTGTTTTGTTTTTTTAGCCACTTGAGGGCAGTGGAACACCTTGTAAACTCAATATTGACATACTTCAAATTCTAAGGTTGTGGTGGTATATGTTAGCAAACAGTTGCCTATTTACACATCCAGCAGACACAATGCAACATTAGCATTTATTTGGGACTCATGTCTCTGGCCTCCTGATAAAGTCCAATATTCACTCTTCTTTTATCTCTGGTCTGGTCTCCACCCGTTCCTGAGGGAATTACCTGGCTCTTTAGAAGCTAAATGTTTCACCAACTGGTTGCTAACTTTGTCTGCCGTTTTAGTGCTTAGCATTTAGCATACAGGGGTTTTTTAAGAGCTTTTTCACGGCTTTGTATTGTGACTGGAAATGGGGTTGATGGGAACAGTGGGTGAACCAAAACATCAAAGCTGCGGGCTGTAAAACCAAAACAATGAACTGAAAGAGGCTGAAACAGAGCTGAGAGGGGCTGAAGAGTTGGGTGTTTTCTGTGGGTTTGTCACAACGAGCGACCCCTCTCACATTACTTTTCGTTGAATATCATAAATAATGGTTAGTGCAGCTTTAAGTTATTCCTCAACCTCTGCATTTAACCTGGTCCTATACATTTTGGCAGTAATCATTTCCTGCCAAAATGTATGTGTATATGGAGCATATCAAAAAAACATCTTCATTACTGCCTCATAAACAACCTAGTTTTTAAACACACGTAGATAGTTGGACCTCTGTAAGTATTAATGGCAAACGCAATATGAAAACGTCTGTTCATATGGCATTAATTGTTGTTAATTGAATGTTCTATTTCATTTAAGGGGCCACTTACCTCAAGCAGTTCATCTCCACTGAACAGCTTGCCACAGCGACCAACAGGTCCCTCAGGTAGAACAGAGCGGATGTAATGATGCCCACTGTTGGCTTCCAGACTGATGCCCAGGCCGCTGCTCTCACTAAATTTCTCCACCTGAGCCACCTGTCATGGAAACACAGGAAATCTTAGTTAGTGAAACATTCTGTTATGGGAATATTATTTTTTTAAATAGGTCATTCTTCCTTTTTTTTTTTTACCATAATAAAAAAATTGCCCAGGAAACAATGTATGAGAGATAGGAGTTCACTTTGAAAAAGAAACTTACTACAACTTCATTACTTGGACCTAGAATTTCTTGCCACTTCTTCATTAGCTCTTCCTCTTCAAAGGCTGTTAGTTTCATCCCTTGGAAAACACAACACAATACAAAGTACTTGAATTAATATACAGAACAACATAAAAGGCAAATTTGTGATAAATCATTTAGAGTCAGCCATACAACATTAACTTCTAAAGATTTGTTATGTACTAATATTGTGTTTGAAGAAGCCTATTAAAATTTCTAAAACTACTGCACTGTCTGTGAAACTACAAACAGCACCCGTATGTCCTCACGGTGTGCTTTGCCAGTCAGTGTGGTCCTGACAACAATAACCCTTATCTGTCAGATGTCTGCCCAGTATCTCTGCTGGTGTACTTAAAGTAGAATCCCAGCCTCCCACCATGTTTGTCTTCTGTTAGCTGATCCGTGGCTGGGCTGACATCAGATCCTTCACTCTTTGTCTGGAGCAGCTTTTCATCTGTGGTGACTGTAAACACACAATGAGATGGACAGAAGCAGACAGTGGCACAGACACATGACAGTATAGGCACAGAGCCACTGGAAAAAGTAATCTATTCTCCACTAAAAGCACATATACATGCAAAAAATACAAATAAACATTTATTCTACTACTTTTTTTAAAATAGTTTGAGAATTTACTACTCTTTCATAACCACCCTCACTTAAAAAGAGGAACCTATCTCATATCCCTATTGGTCCAAAAAGGATATACATGCCCCTGCTGATGTTATCCATAATGACAGACTATAAACTTTCCAGGACTTTAAATATCTGTTTAATGATCCTGGTACTTTTTTTTTTTACAACTTCATGGCACTGTTTATGTCTTTGGAGTTCCACAGGGCACCGAACTAGTCGCCCATGAAATTACTAACCATGTGCCTAAGCAAGGCATGGTCTACACTGTACATCAGCACTATTTAACTGCTTACATAAAACTAATACTAGCTAGTCTGGTATGTGAAAAGGAACTCAACAACCCTGACACTGACTTGACAACAATTTAAGTGAGTAGTTAAATTTCTTTCCATACTCCCAACCATTAAATGACCAATTTCAACTTTGTACATCAAACCCATGATGTAATGCCCAGTAAGTTAACTTAAATATTCTAGTTCTCGCCAAACTACTCTTTGTTTACACCAAGAGAGCTCCTCATATAATATGGGAATGCACTGCAGACTCTTTCCTCTTTATTAGCTGTAATACTCAAAAGTGAAAACTCCTGTAATTGTTTTTTTTTTCCAAACAGGTTTCACAGCCGCCAAGAAAATACTGGCTTCCTCTGTCTGTCGACTTCTGGCTGCTAGTTTTTCTGCATGTTTCTGGGCTATAAGTTTGTGGTGCCAAATCAAATCACTTTAAAGCTCCATCTATCACTATTGACAACTTATGCAAGTTGCTTTTCTTGCTACTGCTATAGCCTGGGGGTCCTGTCAGTACAGCTGGAGACAAGAATCTTTCTGTTTACCCTCTGTCTATCTTCTCTCAGTTTTCGTTGTCAGTCTGTTTTATGTTCTATCATCTATGATACGAGCACATGCATGCAGATGCAACTGTGACTCAATTGTCAATTTCTTAGTTTTGTTGCATCACATGCTAACTTATTACAGAATAAAGTTCAGGGTCTAAACAGCATGATGGAAAGTGTTGGGTTATTTCTGTAGAAATGTGGTAGTTGGGTCAGTTCAGCCAGTGCATTATTCTGTCAGTGCAATATAATAATGGATGAGGAGGGTAGCCATTCACAGAAATTGTTTTACAAAGTGGTTAATTTTATTTCCATGTCTGAGAAAATAGTTTTGTCCTCTTAGCCTTTGTCAGTGATTATTAATAATGAGTGCATTCTCTCTGTTATTAGGGGAACATGGCCAGTAACGTGGGCGTACTCATCCTATTGTTATTATTAGGAGGAACGGGCAAAAAGTAATTCATTCAATTTATTTTTCTGTATTAAGACCAGTGTAAAATGTCATTAACAAATAAATCTTTTTTTTAGCAGAACAAAGACAGCTGCAACATATTCAATAGAGGGCCACCTTTCTCATTCTCAATATATCACGATGTTGACATCACTTTGGACTGTATTTGAGTATAACTCGAGTGAGTGTTTTTCATATGCGGCTGGAGCTTTCTGTTCCTGTATTTTTAATAAATATTGATAAAAGTGACTGAAATTTCCATTTGGAGTCACTTGTCACTGCATCATGAAAACTCCCGTCTGAGCCACATTTACACATCAAATGACACCTTTCTTGACAGGATGAGGATGAGTAGCAAGGAATGTGTTTTTGTCTGTCCTCATTAAATTTCTCTCACTTCGTCCCTCCTACCTTGAGCATCCTCCTCAGCCTTCTTCCTCTCCAGCTCTAGCTCCCTCATGACTGTGGTCGTAGTGGGGATGGTGGTGCAAGGGGGCAGGACGGCGACACTGGGGGCCACAGCAGGGGGGATCTCTTCCGGCTTGAACCCCCGCCGGATCAGCTTAAGGTGGACTGTCTGGCCTGTGTGCCTGAGCACTTCCACTGCCTGTTGATTGGTGTATCCCTGGATGTTCACACCATCGACCTGCAGAGGGCGATCATTCGTGAGCCCGCGGATTAAAGTTCCAGAGCAGCAGTCACGGACATTGTGAGCTGAATTTCTATCCATATTCTTGTTTGACAGAGGTACACAAGAGTATTCCAACATATTTTATCCATTCACTTAATTTGTTTGGATCATTTAGGGTAGGTAAAAAGTCCACAAGCTTAAAGAAGTCAATTAAGTTTTTTATTAAGCTCTTAAATTGGGTCCCAGTGTACATTATCATTTGTGCTTAAGAACAAAACTCAATCAAGCACCTACAAGCACACACACCCCAATACACCAGAATAAAAGAAGAGTTTGTGAGAACCTAAGAAGACACGGGGCAACAGTAACTCACATTTCAAACGATGCAAGAAATTACACACAGTTTAACTTCATTGTTAATGTCTTGCAGTAATAAAAACTAAAAACTTAATTGCTCAGTGTGCAAATTCAAGACTCTTTTTATATTCAAAGTCACGAGAAAAAAAAAACATTTTAAGAACTATCAGTTAATTGTGAATTATTCATTACGCATGTAATAATTTCTCTCCATTGACTAAATGAGTAAATGTGATCACTATAATAGATAATATAAAACATTCACTGCATATTTTACCTCATGCCACTGAAGACAGAGAAAATAGTAATAGCTACAAGGAGCATAATTGGGGTACTTACAGCTATTATCTGGTCTCCAACATGAATACGGCCATCTTGATCCACGGCACTGTCTTTTGTTATGCTCTTGACAAAAATTCCAGAGGGCTCTGAGGAGTTGGACAAAGTTAAAAAAAAAAAAAAAAAAAAAAGTAAAGAGATGAGAAACATAGCCATGAATCATAAGAACCAAGGAGGAAAACAAACAGTTGTTTCAGTTTGATGTTAAAAGTCAGGGTTCGTAAGCTTGTTTCAATATAAGTCATAAACAATGATGTGATGAACCCAATGTACTTAATTAAGAATGCAGAGTACTTTGTATCTAAGGCAATTCAATATTTATTTGCATACTCACCTGAATTTTTATCTCCAACATAGCCAGCAATAGTGATCCCCAGTCCCTGGGTGTTCTTGGTAAGGCTCACATCAAATGCTTCAGCCTCCTCTTCCTCATAGTCCTGCGACAAGATTAATGAGAACGGAAATAAACTTCCACTAACTGCAACAGTGGAAAAGCAAGTTATTCCACCACATCTTCAACATATACGTTTTCCCACTTTGCGAATGAGATAACGAGCGCTCTGGACCTGCCAGCCATGAAAAACACAGCTAATGTGTGCGATCAAAAGGATATGATGTTCGTCATTCATATAGTGAGTCACTGAAATTCATTAATGTTTAAATAGGGATGAGTGTTGAGAAAAGCCATAAATCACTGTTTGTAAGGGCTGTTTCTGTGAAAGTAAAGCACTTAAAATGTTCTCCAAAGTGTGAGTCACAGGTTATGTAACCTGCTATTTTCTTTAATTCCATTTATCCGGGGGCTGTCAAGAGTAAGACAAGATAAATCTGCAGACAAAAGACCTGAACTTAATGTCTGATGTGTTTTTGATAAAAGAGTGTAAGTGATGTCTCGATTATGGCAATCAATTCTCATCTTGATGATTTGCTATAGAGAAACTGCTTTACTATACTCCAAACCATGAACTCCAAATGATTTCCTTATTGGAAGAATTTGTATGCTATTTCTGCCATATTTCAGGTTTAGAGTGAAACAGCTCCTCTCACCTGTTGTTCATCCACAGTGGGGAGCACCACGGGCATGATAGCAGAGACGGAGGGATTCTCGTCCACAGGACCCCTGGTGACTACCAGTTTCACCCTGTTGCCACACTGCCTGAGGACCTGGGCCACCTGTTCGCTGCCCATGCCGTACAGGTCGGTGTCCCCAATTCTCAGGATGTGGTCCCCGCTGCGCAGGTGGCCATCCTGAGGTAGAAAAAGTACATTTTCTCACTTAGTCTGTGTAGCTTCGGTGGCAAGCAAACCCATAATGAGACTGTCAGTGCCAAACAAAAGACAGAGTGGTAGTTAAATTTGTGCTTTCTTGGAATTAACTCATTTTTTATTATACTGACAAGAGTAATCTCTCTAGAACATTGAAAGTGTCATAAAATATTAAAAATTATAATCACTGAATAAACATCTATTAGCAATGCCAAAAACCTCTGAAAAGCCAATTCTAATAAAAGGCAGACAAAGCAATCACCTGATCGGCTATGCCTCCAGGAAGGATGGTTTTGACAATGACCCCAGTGGTCTTTCCTCCCACAATACCGAAACCAAGACCCGTGCCATCGTTGACCAGCTCGATTGTCTCCACGTGCTGCCACTAGGTGTAGTAAAAGAGAGGAAATGATAAAGCTGAAATAACTTCTGAACAAAAAGTGTTTTATTTGTCCAGCCATAAACATTCAAAAAAGCCGAATGATGGCGTTTTCACTGACAATACGGTGTTGTCTAGTGTAATATAAAGATAACCTTTAATCAGTAGCAAATCTTTATCTTTTCTGACAAGAAGCAGGTATGTGTGTTCACTGTGTGTCTGCTGTCACATTGTATCGCCATGTTGGATCACTTCTGTGCTCAATTGTGTCTTTGTGCGTGTACTGTATGTGTGTTACTCTCTCTTGTTCTCAAAATGAGCAATTAGTAAGCGTATGAATGCAAGTTCTCATTCATGATATTAGTGTGAGAATGTATCTATACCGCGCTGGAGTTGGCTGACAGTGTACTGGCAGCGGATGGCGTGCGGGACACCACAGGGCTGGCCAGCTGAGGGATCGGCCCTCTTGCCACTGTGAGCTGAACCCTCTCTGAAGCACTCTGCAGGATGCCTATAGCTTGCTGGTGGGTCACTGTCTGGTCCAGGGGCTGGCCATTGATGGCTAAGATCTGGTCAGCTTCTTTGAGCTTCCCATCACTGCAAAGGGGGAAAGAAGCAATGAGTGTGATAGAGAGAAGAAGAGAGAAGGACATTCTACTGTAAATGGGGTCAGAGCCTCTGATCAAGTAATTCCTCATTTGGTATATAGGATACTACTCATAAACAGTGTAACTGTTATTTGTTCTTACAGCTCCGGATATATTTTGCCAATTTAATTTCTGACAAAAATGTACAGGTAATAATTGTACAAATATGGTTATGTTTGTATTTAAATAATTATTTTGCAAGTAAGGTCTGAGGTGTATTGAAGACATCAGAAAGCTTTGAAACAAGTAGTAAAAATGTCCTTTCATTTCTGGTAAAATGGCCAGTTTGTAAGACTCCCTAAACTTCCCTAATGTCCCCAGAGAATCTGTAAAAGTCTCCAAGTGTCTGAAATAGACTCCTCTAATTCCTTCATTCTTATTCAGCGATTGGCCAAATGTTGAAAAACTTTCTGGAACGCAGACTTTGTTGTGACTGAAGATTTTAATCAGTCTTGAGGTCCCTCAGTGTTCTCATAGCTCTTTGAATGATGGCATGTTGACTCTTACATACCAGTGAGCCACACTTCCCGGCTGAATTTCCTGGATGAAGATGCCGAGCTCTCCGCGGTTCTCGCTCTTCAGGCCCACCACGCTGAAGCCGAGACCTCCTGACACCGGCTTCTCCAGCTCCACGTGTGTCACGTAGCGCCCCTGGATCATGCACACGCATATAACACAGTTTGGCCCCCGTGCTGATTCACTAAAGCATCAAAGCTACAGGCAGCCTTTAGAAGTCTATTTGAAGTGCCTCAAGAGAACAGAACGCAGCGTGCAGTCTGTAGTTCTCGCCTTCGACTGTCTTTGGATATTTGGTTTGAGTTAACAAAGACCTATTTCAGGTGCTGATTTTCTACGTGTGTTACAATGACTAAAGAAAACATGGCGATAAATCTACTGGGATCAATGTTATGCTCTGTTATTGCACTGACAATGAGCTCAAAGGCAGTATATAAACAGCATAATGATTGTTTTGGCTTTACAGTCGCCCATACCTGTGCCATGGAGTGAATAATGTGTTCAAATTCTTCAGATGGTGTCTTGCCATTGATGTGTGCAGAGGCTGATGTGTCTGAGTAGGAAACATGGCCGCCGTTGGGCTTGACTGCGGCAACGTGATCGGCGGGGTCACTCCCACGTGACACCGGGACACTGCCCTGGAAAAATGAAGAAATAAACATGTAGTGTTTCAGTGATGTGCGTTTTCACCTAAATGAATCTGTGAAGTAAAACCCTGGAAGAAATAACCGTCAGATCAAATTGAAAATGATTGGACCTCCATTATAAAAGTTGTGATGTTGTCTGTCAGATTTCCCGTAGCAGCATAACAGCTTTGGATTTCTACAAAATGCTCCTACAGAGAGCTGCAATTACTGGCGTTAATCCAACCAAAGACAATTAAAAGTTGGAACAAAAAAACAAAACATCATGGCTCATTCCTACTGTGAACGTAAACATTTAGCAAATTTAATTTTAGACACCAAAACCCTGAAGCCTGCGTGTCTGAAACCACTGGGATGCCAGATAGTTTGTTATCCCACCACGATTAGCTGGATCTATGGCAGCCTAATCCTTCTGGAGATAATGGCTCTTAGCTGATGTTCCAACAATGACTAGGCTCCAAATACAATATTTCTATCATGGTGGGGGGAAAGCATCACTGGCCATCTGGATGCCTTAATATGCTTGGGTTTTAATTACTGCAATGACTTTACTTGTGTGACAGATGAATCACATGAAAGCGACAACAACATAAAACAGTGTTTTTTTCCCCCGATTTCATTAGCCAAAGGGCATAATGTTTATGACCATTTGAATAGGATTCAAAAGGACGGACGTAATGCACAGCAATAATTTCATAAACACTCCATTTGGCATATGGCATTGCCAAGCTAAAGCTGTCCTTGTGAACTTGTGAATTTACATTAGGAAGTTGACTGCACAACTTCAGAGCTGAGGAAACATGTACAGTAAATTAGGCCTCCTTTAAACACAGTCCCAGATTAGTCCTGAGAAACAAAACTCCATTGGACAGAACACATTAGTGCGGCACACTGCAAACAAAACCCTATGGGTCAGGCTAAGTTAGCGTAGCATGCTGCTAAGTTGCTGTCCTCATGCATGAGCTTTGTTAGCTGGGGCCTGGCTAAGAGGATTAAAGTTCCAGTTTGGTTCTTGCACATTTAAGAAATTGTTTCTGCCCCACTTCACACAGCGGCCTCTCTCTCACTGGAGAGCAGGGCCTTGTCGCCATAGCGACATGGGCCGTGCAAGGCCTAACTAGCAGAGCCAGAAGACGGACAGTATGTGTGTTTATGTGTCTGGCTCTTGTCTCACAACAAAACACAAATGCACCCTCTCTCCAAATTGGTTCTGCTTAAGTGGGGCACACAAGTGCAGTTGGGTTTGGAAGCTCTATGAAAACACAATACAGACTTGTTGCAGTTTCTGAAATACAACTATTTACCATTGTTACAACGTGGAATGGGTCCATTTTGAAATCTGAAGGGAGTTTACAATGAATGGCTGCTTGATAAATTTCGCTTAGCAAAACAAACAAACATGCATCAGCGCACACACACACATGCACACACACACACAGAGGAATGTTCCTCTTTTGAAATAGGCTAAATCACCAGCACACAAAAATGCCAGCAGGGCTTTTATAATCTAAATTCCGCAAGGGGTAAAAAAGCTCCAGCATCCCTGCCTCCCACTGCATAGCTCACATATTTTCGTCTCTATTTCTCAAACGCTTACCCTGGCCCCTTTCCACTGTGACTTAAGAGCTCTTTCATTTCCACTCAAATGTTCAATTCTCAATGGAGAGAATCAGCTTGAAAAAGAGTTCCTGACTTAGACCAACTATCCCTGCTCTTGTAGCCATATTATATCTGGCTTGTGTGAACCCTGACAGCAATTTGGTCATAGCAGCAACACTATTGGGGATGGGGATTGAAAGGAGTGTGTGTGTGTGTGTGTGTGTGTGTGTGTGTGTGTGTGTGTGTGTGTGTGTGTGTGTGTGTGTGTGTGTGTGTGTCCTGACACAAGCCAAAAGCAGAATCAGTGAGGTCGCCCAGGAAACAGGAGAGATAAAGACAGTAGTAATCATGGAAGAAAATGGATGTGGAAAATATTCTAAACTTACTGATATCCAGGTAATGCAGAAGTTTCAATTTTACCATCTTCTGCATCATGCCATGGTTATCATGTAACCACTGTCAAAAAACAATACTTAGATGCCCATATGTTCATTAAAACCATTATTACTCGCTGCAGCTGTTTCGCTTGGCCGTACCAGCTGTTACGAGCTCCCTTGCTCATGCGATTTCACAGTCATCTTTCTGTCCAAAAACGCATTCTTAAGTTCAGCCAAAGCTTATATGAGCCTTCAATTAGTCAGTTAGTCAACTTAAGTGGGTATCTTCCCAAGATCGCAGTCTTTTTAGTATGACATTCCCTCCAATAAGAACAAAACTGATGGTTACAGTGACCGCTAACTCTTTCACTGTACATATGGGCATGCTAATATCATGTTAAGATAAACCTGAAGCTATCCTTTAACAGAATCCATTGTCAGCTACACAAATACACAGCGGTTGGAATATAACTTTCAGTTTTACACTTGGTCTGAGTCCTAAAGGTTAGTTTATGTCTCAACATCAAAATGTCACGGTAGATAAGCTAATGGGTGTTGGTGTTTGGTGTCTACACTCTACAGACACAAGGACTACGACTTTATATTCCCCCGACTCATCCAGCATGACGATAAATAACAATAGCCAAATTAGGCTCTCATTTCTACTTCTGTTTATATCACTTCTGTACTAACAAAGAATGATGTTTCCATCTGGTATTTTGGCAGTTTGTACTCATGTACAAATCATGCTGACCTCTAAATGACCATAACCTTGGAACATCTTAAGCCACATTTCCACCGTAACTTTCCTCAGGGACCAGGAACCTTTGGACGAACTCAGTCCGTTTTCACTGCAGGGACCAAGCTCTAAATTAAGTTCCAGGGACGGCGGCCTTTCATACACATCCTTTATTACTACAAAGGTTAAAAAGAAAGAGTCGTTATGTCTCAATGTGACGAGATTAACACAATAGGTGGCTGCAGATTTTTGTATAAATAAAGTACCAACTAGACATGTTCAGTGTTGCCCCCCTCCTTTTTGGGGGGTAAAATAATGTACCCCGGAACTTAATTTAGATTCTGGGCCACAGTTTGGTTGCTGGACTGAGTTCCTAGTCCCGGAGAAAGTTCCTGAAGTGGAAATGTGGCTTTAGTGACCTTGTCTTAGCACCCTGGGAGCCCAGCATCACTCATTTGTATTCAGTATTGTTATTCTCATTTAAAAAGTTCAGTCTCGCAGGCCCAGTTCGGCTTAGAATAATGAAAATGCTCACATGCAAATTAAAACAAAAATTTGAATAGATGAAATAGTCCAACAGTTGTGTTTATTGCATTATTACAGATATCTGGGCCAAAAGGGGGGTACAGTGAAATACTTTTACAGTTTACCTGGTCTCTGAGATGCTGGACGGACTTCTGCAAGGCCAGGATCTGGTGGAAGAGGGGGCTCTGGAGCACCGATTTGAGCAGGCTGAGCTTCTCCTCAGTGGGCACCTCCCCCCGCTCCTTCAGTTTGGCCTGGAGACGCTCCACCGCCTGCAAGGCACGCTGTGTATCTGCAAGCCGTCGCATATTTCAGTGACAGCGCCAGCCAGAGTGAAGGAGTGGATGCGGGGAGACGGAGAGGCGTGGGAGAGATAGAGGTGGAGAATAGGAGATGAGGACAGAGGCTTTATCAGTACATGGGCAGAGATAGCGAGACAGGGAAGGGTGTTCGGACACTGGCTCATTTATACATTTAAATATCCTTATTCAATAATATGATTTTTTAAAAATCATACAGTGTAATCATCTGGCGTTCTTCTTTCTGTTTAACAATGACATATAAATGAAGAATAGAAAAGGGATGGAGAGAGCTACACATCTAACCTGTAGGCTTAGCTAAGGCTGACTGGTGCTCAACAGACCTTACGATATCGAAATCACGTAGCATCAGGTTTTGCACCAGAAGGAATGAAAACTACATTTTCAACGCGCTGTCTGTCTGCAGAATAGCAATGTTTCCTTTTCTACCTTCAGGGTCAATGGTGGGTTGCACAGGAGCATAGAATGGGCATCAGGAGGAAAAGATAAAAGAAGCAGGCCCTCCACAGTTTGCTTGCTGGACCTTGCATAAGCTCCACAATCGAGCAACTCCAGAGTGGCTTGTTAGTGAGGATGGGCCAGCCAATCGTCATCTGGACAAAAATGAAGCAATTTCCGAATCTCACCAACTGTGACTAACACCTAATAGGGCGTGCAGAAGGTCCAAAGCCCTTTTTGCACTTAGAAGCTTTGTTGTTTGAACAAAGGTTGTAAACAAGCCAATAACAACGAAGCCTCAGCAGAATTTTTTTTCTTGTTCGTCACCGGTCCTACGCGACCCCTAGCTGTATCATTTTCACTGCCCTCGACTCAGTGTGCATAATGAGGGGTCCCACCAGAGTATGGCGCGTTTTATGTGTGTCGGCCTGTGCGTGTTCCAAAAGACGGGGTGAGCCTGAAGCAGAGGATGACACTATTAAAATAGTCAAAATTGCAGTGCTAGTTTGATTCCATTAAAAAAAGCCTGCACGTTACGGTTGATAGTACATGGTCAACATGCCAGTCTTGAGAGTGACCACAGATTGCGGCTTTAAAGAAAGAAGCTGGCAGCAACCGTTTGGCTCCATGCTTGACAGTTGGACAAATAAATCTCTATGGGGACAAACAAACAATCAAGTATATGGCAACATTATCAGATATGGCAACATTGGCAGCCCACAAGCCTTGAACTAAATCCAGGGCCTCTTACACTGGTTGAGAAAAATGCACAGCAGGAGCCAAATACGGATGCACAGCCAGCAAAGACGGACACCCAACTGACTGGACCAAACCTCTCTGCAAAAAATGCTCATTTTAGAAATGATGATTCAAAATTAAAACAAGGCACAGCGAGCGTGCAGAGGCAATATTTCATGTTTTGTCTCATTTATTACGGTAGCATTTCGTTTAATTTAAACTGAGTATTTGATTTTGGAGACACTTAAGCTTGTTAAATCTGTTAAATTAGGGATAGAGGAAGGAGAGGAAAGAACATTTGAGAGACACGATGGATACATAGCCACACATTCCTTGTTTTCGTTTCATCAACATGTATTTTCAACCATAATAAATAACACACTGACTCTATCAGTTGTATCTGGCTGCCATAAAATAACAAAAAAACATTACTTACCCATTGTTTCTATCATTTTTAGAACTGCGGGTGAATGTGATTTCTCCCCATTAACAGCAATTTCAAACTCTTCCCTTTTTCAAGGCCTGCAAAGAACAACATAATGTGTTATGTCTTTTTCTTATACAGCACAAATTCGCTCATCTTTTCTGACTTCCACAAGGCACTCTGTACAAACAGGAAGTCAGAGCTGGAAAGGCACCTTCTCCTCTGAACCCAACTTCTTAAACATTATTTTCCGAAAGGTCAACATAAAAGGGAAAATGGATTTATTTCCTTTCAGTCGGAGCCATATCTATCTCTTAAGAACGCTTTGCAGTAACATCACAGAGTAACCACTGTGCCGAAGAACTGCAGGGCTATTTTACTGAGTCCCCAGTGCAATGGTGCAGTGTGTCCATGTGAGCACACATCTACTGTAGGTCATTAGTTCATTTATATTTGACTAATGCTCTTATTGATGGATTAACACCTGGTCATTTACATTCCCGGTACTTTATTCACTGCACTTTGGCAGCATGACATGTCCGCAGGCAACATTAAATATGATTATCCATTTTACTCCCATCAGATAAATATGGCTAATGAAACAACAGTCTGATGATTAATTATCATATTTAGGCGAACAGTCTTATCAGTTATTTTAAGACTAGCGCTACACCCTTCTTACATCATATAGGGCGGCAACTAATTATTTTTATCATATATTGATGAGCTGATTTCTTTTCTTGATTAATCCACTAATCGTTCTGTCTATAAAATGTCAGAAAACAGTGAAAATGCCCATCATAATTTCCCACAATCCAAGGTGAGCTATTGCGATCAACACAACTCCACGGTAAGTAATAGTAGTAGATGGCCCTGGCAACATATGAGGGTGGTTATTGTCTTCTATATTTGACTCGTGCCTTTATTCATGGTGTGATGGCGGTTAACTCCCATCTCGGGAACGTCATACTTGACTTTAGAAGTGGCTTTGTCACAAGCATGACACGACTCAGGGAGACATTACACGATTAAAGGAGATTGGTGGGATAATTAAAGCCCTATATAGGCTCTTAGAATAGCCACAGTACTTGTGGCACCAGGGTCAACACAGCACTGGTTTGTTTATGTTCATTCCATTTGCTTCATCCACTGTGTGCTTCTAACGTTCAAACTCACTAATGAGCTTTCTAAATACAGTATGTGGCCACTGTGCATTTTATTTGTCCTGACTTGGGTTATTATTAATTATTGGGTTTATTTTTAATTAAACTTAGTTTGGAGTTGTGCTGACTTTCTTTGGCCTACTAATAAATTGCTGCAGGATATGACTTCTGCATATATATGTTCATCTTTGCTACTTTCTTACTGCTGCTGAAACCCTTTTAAATGTATAACAACCTAAAGATGATTAAAAATGACTACTGGCATCCAGTTCCAGACAAATATACACTTCTCAGATTTAATATATACACATTTGTTATACAACATGGTTTTGGGCTTTAACTGTTATAGTTTGTCTGTATAGGTGTTGCTTTCAGGGACCTTCAAATGTATCGGAGATAAATATTTCCTAATCTTACTAAAGGAAAAGAATGAATGTAATGATTCACTGAAGGCCTGAGGAACTCATTAGCTATTGTTACACAGTGGACTTCAACCCAAAAACACTAGAGCTTTAAGGTGGGATCCGAAAATAATCATTGGAATCGTGCGTGAGCTTTGCCGTCACCACGAATAGCTGAGTAACAGGTTGTCATTTTATTGTGCGGTTCTTCTCCTAACTATTAAAAAATGTCGGTCGAGCACGTCCATATTTAATAGCCTTACTTACGTTAATAATGCGGTTGCTACAATAGATGTGTGTAAGTGTGTATTGCTGTTAAAAAAGCAGTCGAGGTTAGCTAGTATTTTGAATAAAGCCAAGACACTTGGGACAATCCGCTTTTCTCAACTCCTCCTCCTCCCTCCTTCCCCATCTCATCCGCGGAGCAGAAAAGCAACAGGCTTCCGAGAAGGACACGGTAAAGAAGTTAGCTTGTACCGCCGGTTTGGAGCAAAAAAACCAAACAACCATTCACGGTGGCTATTTACAGCAAACACATAACACTTTTAAACTAAAGAGTGACACTTAAAGCGATGTAAATCCCGTTCTTTCTTGCTCAATGACCCGCCGCGACAACAGGCGTCTCAGACTATTTTCCTCTCATTAGCGGCCATGTAGCGAACAAAGGCTACTGTCGCTGAAGTTATTAATACATTACAAAATGTTCGCCAACATTTCTTCGAGCGAAACTTGACAGAAAATAGCCACTTACATGAGTGTGGAGGCTTTACTTTCCCGGCGGGCAGTATCCTATCCTATCCGCTGTTGTCCTCCCGCTAACGGTGCACTGACTGCGGCTTAAAGATGGGGCGTAGTGTAACTCGATCCTCTGGACATTTTCGACGATAGCGGCTCCGAGAGTTGAGCTGGAACTGAAGCGCCGCTTGCTGGTTGCCCTGACACCTAGGCCTGAGGCGTGCCAGGCCCGGCTCCCGACTCCAGGGCCAAAATAATAAGATGCTGGAAATCCAAGTTGCATGCCTATGTTAGAACTTTGATTATTATCAGTCCACCTATAGTACATACTGACCAAGGATTATCACAATTTCCTCTTTAAAATCATCTTTGTTTAAGTTTTGCATGAAAACAGTCCACTAATGCCATGTGTCTCAGGGTCTTTTAATTTGTAAAGGCCAGTTAAAGCCCAAGCAGTAAACTCCAAAATAAACAAATAAGCACCAGAAACATTCAAGCTTTAAACTAAGACTTGGACATCTAACTTTTATACATATCCTCGAAGCTGATGAGTTTACCAGCAAATGTAAATTAGATCCCTAAGGGCCAGTGGCAGACTGTCTGTAGGGCTTGGGTGAAAAATGAAAAAGGGCACCAGCTGCATAAGAGTGCAGTGATGCATTTAAGGTTGAAACAGTTTCCAAACCCTTTCTTCTAGCATGTTGGGCATCCTATATGGCACAGAATCACATTTTCTACATGGGAAGGGCACCCTAGAGGGCATTTCATCATGTTTTCTTATGCACTGGGCCACCATAGAGAGCACGTTATCATGGGGGCACCAGGGCAGGGGGGCGATAAACTTCTGGTTTGTAGAAATTTAAAATACTACAAATGTGTTTGGCAAAGTGTTGAATATGCACCAAAAAGATGCACAAATAGCAGGAGACAGCAGAGGTTTAACAGCAGTTGTTTTTGCACTGGGCACCCCATATTGTGTTAATTCAGCCCTGCCTATCACACAGTATTTCAATCTAGAAAATAGAAAAACATTTAGGCAGTTTTCAAAGGGAAAAAACAGTGGAGAATTACATACTTTGAAGGATAACTTCTTAACATTCAGGTTGTGTTAGACAAAACTACAAAAACCCTGCTTTTTTGTTTTGTCCAAGGCAGCCGAATCAAGTCCTTGAAATGATAACGTGAGAATACCTGCCCTTAGTGACCCATAAGTGTCACAGGTGCATGCTGTGTGTATGCCCTTGGGCAAAATGCTGAGCGCCGCATCTAAAATATAAAGTGGAGAATAATACTGCTAGACATATTGGAGCCATTGTAGAACAAATAAGTAAGAAACCAGACCTGAATTGTTAATGTAAGCCTATTACAAACATTGCTGCAGGGGATCCATTCTTGGCCAAATTGACACAAACTTGTGTTATGATTCAGTTTCCATCAGTGTCTGATTATGTCTCTTGTGTTTTTGCTACTATAAACAGTTTTCTGGTGAATCAGGCACATTGGTCAGAACTGTGTGGTTCATTCTGCTGATAAAACACGAACGAGCTAGTACACATTTTGTTTATCTGTCAACCTCATGTACAAATAAGATGTTATTAGGACCCCCCACATACTCGATGTATTAGACTAATAAGCATTTAGTAAGACATGGTGGGATTTTGATTACACGTACATTACCAGTGAAGTATTTTTAAACCCAGGAAGCACCTTGGAAAAGGACACGGCATGCTGATTAATCCAGAATTTTCTATCTGTGTCCTGTTTATAGGATTATGCACTCCATTTCGGGCAGCAATGCTCCATGCTTATCAAATTTGATGTGAGCTGTTACTCAAAATGAAATGTATCCAATGCCCACTGAGATGGAAGCTGTAGCCTGTTATCTCACGACTCAGATTTAACAGCACAAAAATAGCAATAATCTGATTGCATTTGCATTGTTTTTTCCCTTCATTGTAAGGGGAAAGAGGAGGACTGTATCTTAGCTGTTGGCTGGTCAGGTACATCCCATCGAGCTGCTGATGTACCCTTTGACCCCGGTGCGGCCAGCTTCAGAACTTTTAGTTTTCACGGATCAAGACTCAGGGGAGAGCATGGAGCAGGGTCAGTCAGTAAGAAGTCATTTCAACAAGGGGGAGAGAGGGATATGAGCTCCTTTCAGAGATCTGATACTGACTAAATCCCTTCACCATTTATATCATTGCTTCTGCCTCCCTCTTATCCACCCAATAACTCCCCTCTTACTTTGACAATAAGCCACTTTTATGTGGGAGGTCTGACTCAGCCAAACGCAGAAAAAAGACAAGAGATTGAAACAAGAAAGAAAGGAAGGAAGAAAACAAAAAAAAGCCCTGTGCTAGGCAGCATCAGCATTTTGTATTTTTATACCTGCCTATCACAGGTCCTCAGTGGCAGTTGTTTGAGACTGCTTAGTCACACGAGACACCAAATCTGTGGTAACTTGATTCAAATCGTCATTGGGCTTTCTTTTTTTATTCCAACTTTGCTCGTACTTAGGGCCACGGTTTTTTTCCGTTTGCTTATTTCATTTAACCCTTTTAAATGGACCAATTCAGCATAGTTAAAGCTGAACCTGAATAGGTTAATGGGAGTATTTTGTGGCAAAAAGATTAACCTATTGTGCGGGGGCCAGTGCGAGACGTTCTCCGTGACTACAGGTGTAACTAATAGCAATCGAAAGCACATTTGGAAAAGTATAGCACACCTAAATGGCATCCTGACATGATTAATGCTGTTAGAAACGCCTGTGTTCGACAGGTCAAAATGTCTGCGGATTGAGCGTCTATAGATAGCTGATATACCATGCTTTGTGCCAGTCACGTTTACACGGCTTAGCTGACACCGCCTGATTGCAATTTAGTGCGGAGATTGATGGTGGAAGTGCTGATTCAAGGTCATACTGATTTAGCGGGAAAATGACAACCTATAAAGCCTGAAATAAAAAATGACATCACTGTGTGAAAACCACACATTTTTTTTAACAGAACTTTTCTGGTAACATCATCCTTTATTGGACGCCAGCTAAAGGTGTCTGAAGTCATGTGGTGCGATAGAGAAATACCCTGAAGGTATCACAAATTTTGAGTAACTCAGCCACATTACCAGAGTGTCTGCCTGTCTTGATTTATTGCCAATAAATCCATCATCACTCAGAAAGCCTTTGAAACTGTAACATCCCCAACGATGTAAAAGGGCTCAAAGGAAGAATAAGACATCGTGATAGTGCTTTTCATACCATAGGGCTAGCTAGGGAATAATGAAATAATAATTCATTAAGTAGTAGTAGTCTCCTGGTTTTATTGAAACAATCTTTGCGATTGTTATTGCGCCTTGCAGCGATTTATAGGTCTGCTTTTAAACTGCGGGGGGGGGGCTGTATGGTGGGTCAACGGCACTTAATGGTACAAGATAGAGAACAACTAAAGGTTTAGCAGAGTTAAGTTAAGAGTTTGAAGGTTATCCTGATGCTGGTCCTATAGGGAATTCCAGCTTTGTGTCAGTAGGTCACAATTGAAAGTATGGCCCGATAGTGTTGTAGAGCCAAGGTTACATGGGTCGTAGCTAATCGATAGGTCTGTCCCTGTTGGGAATGCGAATGTGCAGATGAAATATAATGCCAATTTAGCAGCGACTTTTGGAGATATTCAAAACTTTGAATGGCCGCAAAGAGTTTGATGGGGGGGGGGCTATGTCAGAAAAGAGGTCATAGGGTCTTCAAAATCATTTATCTTCTGCCTATTTGGAGCATGAATGTGGGCACCAAATGTCATGCCAATCCAGACATAAAATTAATACATATTCTATAATAACTAAACTGGTTTGGTAGACTATGTTCCTGTATGTTTTCCTGACTTTTCAATAACTTAACTTATAAATGTAATGATTTAAGAGCCCTATATACAATGAAATAATCATCCTCAGCACAAGACCAACACTGGTTCTCTCCTCTGAGTCATGCATTTATTTGGTAACATAACAATTTAAAGAAACTGATCAGTAAAAAAAACGTGAGAGAAAGAACATTCCAGACTTTCACTGTGTGATAAATATGAGGGGTGGTGTGAGTAAATGTGATTCGGGTCAATTGCCGTCAATGTGTAAGAGTTGGCAGCTGTGCGATTGCTTGCTATAGGTTGTTGATTCCTGACCATGCAGGCTTATTACGAACAATTTATTACCTCCATCTTCCTTTCAAGTTCCTGTAACATTACGAGCAAATTACAACCTGCATCACTTGAAAGAGCTTTAAGAGCAGTTAACCTACCCATACCCCCACAATATATGACCTCAGTATATCCGACGGCTGACATTACAGCCCTAAAGCGAATTTTCAACAGTCATGCTCTCAATGTAAGACAAAGTCAAGGGCTTTTGAATGCACCCTGCTTTACAAAAGGTGAGGTTAGCAGCAGTGAGGATAATAACAGTGTTTGATAAGGTTGGAGCACAATCTGATGAATGAATAAAATGTCCATTCATTCTTTAAATGCAAGCGCTGGTCAATGCGGAGGAAGAAAAGGTGACATTTGGTTACTTCACATAATCATTGCCCATATACTGCGTAACTGAGACACTGATGCATATATTTGAGTCACAGAGCTATAGCACCTGTTTTTTTTTCTCTCAAAGACAAACTGCAAGCCAGACTACTGCTGTTTGGGAGACATACTGGTTCCTCAAAGACTCTTCTATCCTGATGTAACAAAAATGTGTGCTGCAAATAAAATAAAATAAAAAAATACATGTAACCTATTCCCCAAATTGCACCTCTTTTTCTCAGAAGAAGGTTGGTGTCATCAGCCCCTAGTATCACTGAAATTGAATGTTATAACACCATTCAGATGGATGCAATCTGCAACTACACACTGAATAAAACTTGAAAATGCTAATGTAAGCTTGCTAACACGCTCACAATGACAACACAAACATTCTGTGTTTACCATGTTTACCTTCTTGGTTTAGCACATTAGCATTCTAACATTTCCGAATTAGCCATAAACACACAAGGGCAGCTGAAGCTAATATGAATGTCACTGGTTTTGTTAGTATTTGGTCATAAACAACAGTGCTGGACAAATGGCATTATGTGATAAGATGAAAGTCTGTAACAGGGCTATACATACATAGGCTGCATGCAAGCGCACAT